GGAGTAAAGCTTATAATTAAGAATAAATATTATAATCCTTATCGGAAAACTATTACTAATTTAATTTATGTTCAGTTACATTTCTAAATTTTATATATCTCCTATGACAAATTAGCAAAAGTAGTGTTTTTAAGTATTCAATAGTCAGCCTCAATATTTTCTAGATTATCAAGTTATAATGCTTGGTGATTTAATAAAATAATCCAGTTGTCTAAATGAAGGTATGTATAATGAAAGTTCCATCTTGAGATTTCCATGTCCTTTTTAAAAGATAAAATGAGTAGGCTTATAAGCTTTATGTGAATGCAGGTTACTTTTTAGAGCAAATAGTGTAAGAATTAAAAAAAAAAAAAAGCAATGACTTGGTCTTATGGAAATTTAAGTTCCTATTGGGAAAATAATGCACAAATATATGCAAATTTAATTTCAACACATAATCCCAGGTAATATTTTCTTCTACACTGAGGATAAGGAATAGAAAGATCTAAACAACTGATGTAACCAGTGACACTGAAATAGAAAATACGTTAATTCCATAGTATGAGAGATGTCAGATTAAACGAAGAAAAGTAAGTGGTTTAAAGTTCACTTAAGTAGATTCTACACTACTGGGCAGCCAGCTCTTCCCTGCCTGTGCTGCACCTCCTCCTGCCCTCCATCTACTCAAGCAACCCCTTTAGACAGTGGAAAGTATTTTGGTTGAGGAGTTCCTCACTTCAACAATTCTATATTCTAGTGATTTTTAGATTAGAAAAATTTATAGCTTGTATAGCTATAAATTCTGAGAAAATATACTTTATGTAATTCTGTATCAATTTGAAAGGTACCAAATTATGGTCTAAGAACTATTTCCTACAGAGAAGCAGCCCATTATAATGTTTCATGTATGGATTCTAGAAGACACTGGATTGAAATCTCAGTTCTACTTTTTTTCTCTTAATACTGGGGATCAAGCTTAGGGCCTCTTGCATGGCAGGCAAGCACTCTGCCGCTGAGCTATGTCCAACTGTTTTTATTTTATTTTTATTTTGAGACAGGCTTTTGCTAAGTTCCACAGGCTAGCTTCAAACTTTTGACCCCCTCTCTCAGCCTCCTGAGTAGCTGGGATCACAGGCATAAGTCACTATGCCTGGCCCAGTACCACTTCTTAATAGTAATATATAGAAACATGCAAATTACTAGTCTTATTTTCCTCATTCATAAAAAGGGGCTGTCTTTACACAGCCGTGTTCAGCTGGAGGAGTCAACTGATCTGGAAGAAGGGGCTTCACTCATCTACCAGGTGTTTATGCTGCCTATTGGCTGGGCAGCTCAGTTCTTGGGACATTTTATGCTGCATGAGCTAAAGTGACTTCCTTCCATGATACCACAGGGTAGTGACAAGAAGGAATTGACAAATCTCTTGAAGCCTAAGCCTCAGATCTCAAACATCATTTCTATTTTCTTTCTTCCTCTCTCTCTCTCTCTCTCTTTTTCTTTGAGACAAAGTCTCGCTTTATAATTCAGGCCGGCCTTGATGCCCAGGCTGGCTTCAAACTCACAATTTACGCCAGTCCTCCTGCCTCAGCCTCCCAAGTGCTGGGATTACAGGCATGCGCCATGATGCCCAGATTATTTCCTTCCACTTTCTATAAAACAAAGCAAGTCACTTGACCAGTCCAGATTCAAGGGAATGGAGAAATGGACATCACCAATAGAAGGGAATTGTAGGGAGAATTTGTGACTATTATCATTAAGCAGTCTTCCACCTGGGGTCTGTTTTGGGGCATGTGTTAACTCCAAATTAAGACACTGGCTGAATCAAACAATGAGAGGGGAAAAAAACCCAAGGACCTTATAGAGTTGTTACATTTGAAAGGCACATACCCCAGTGTGTGCCATATAAGCCCTTTTCAAATGTGAATGAGGATGATGGTAATGATAATGATTCAGTGATTAGAAGAACAGTGGAGAAAGAGTGATGGGTTTTTACATAGAGGAGTGAAATACTAAAACTTTCTGAAAGATTAATGTGGTGTCTTTCAGCAGGACAATTACAGTAGGAAAAGACTGGAGAAATGGAAATCAGGAAGCTATTTGATACACTAAATGTAAGGCTATAAAGAATAGGATTATGTAGTGGAATGAAATGAATTGATATGAAGAAATTGTGAATAATTAACCCATCTTAACTGATTTGCTATGGTTAAAGTTTTGAAGAGACGAGGGAAAGAAAGAAGAGGCGCAGGAAATTATGGTACTAAGTACACTTTGTAAACTGTCCTAGTCAGGCCCTAATAGTGACACAGGAGAAGATGAACCAAACCTGAACTGACACCAACTTGATGTCATCTGATTTATAATTCTGGAAACTCCATTGTGATGGGCGAGTGAAAAATTTTATATCATTCAGAACACAAATAAACCCTAAATTGCAAGCCTGAAACTTTTATGGCCCTTAGTTATATGTGTTTTCTCTGTGGCCCATTCTCTATGTGACGTACTAATTCTTTCAAGACATTTCTAAGAAAAGTCAAATAGTCTCCATCACTGTTGTCTGTTGCAATTGGCTATTGGCTTTCTAAAGCTCCATTTGATAAATATCTTGATGTGTGGGATAGGGGAAGAGGGTGCTATGGTTAATTAACAGTGTTTACCAGAGATGATGGAAAGACTGGTAGGAGACATGCTGTGTTGTCATTCCTATAAATACGAAATGCTAACCTCACTAATTCACTTTCTACATCACTTAGACATTAATATAGGAATACATGAATGAGTGCAGTGCTTTTTTTACAATTATATGTATAATGGTTGCTTACCAAATAGAAATAATGTATCCTAACTTTATTCAAAATCTTACAACTGAGCCATTAGTTTGCATATCACTTGATTATCTTAGCCAAAAGGCCGAGAAGCGATAGTTTGCATATCTTTTAATGTTTATCCTCCAAAGATCTATACTAAAATGTTAAATCTTATAGAAGCTTTGTTCACTTTTATACAATTTTTAGAAAAATGCCTTAAGCTGGGGATTTAGCTCAGTGGTTCCGCCACCTGCCTCGCAAGCAGAAGGACTCGAGTTCGATCCCCGGTACCAAAAAAAAAAAAGAAAAATGCCTTAAACTTAATTCATTTAAAACATTTCTAAGCAATAAACTATTCATTATATGACTAAAAGTTTTTGTTTGGTTAGTTTTGTTTTGATCTTTAGCATAGATTTTTATCCCTAGAGTGTGCTATTAGTTACCCTATTGTTTTGTCTTCCCTGTAGAAAACCTGTGGTAAAGAAAGTGGTTATGTAAACTGTCTTCTTTGAAATTAAAAATTCATTGTTCTTTTCATTATTACAATTGATTACAAATTTAAAATGCATTGTTCTTTTCATTTGCCTTTACAAAGGTCAAAATGTTTTAATATCTATACATAATAGCCAGTGCCATGTGAGAATGCTCACTTTTAACAACAGAATATCTTCAGGAAGTAAAAGATACACAAGTCTTTTAGTAATAATTTATTGTTACATGGAAAGACACTGACTTTTTGGTATTCTGCTGTGATTCTATTGTTGTGATGCTATTGTGCTCCAGAGAGTAGGGAATTGAAGGTAGGAGCTAAGAGCAATGAAAAGGGACAAGTGGAGTTTCTGTAAAGTAGTGGTTATCACATGAAAGGTCCCCAGTTTGAAACTGGTTGGAAACAAAGGGATAAATATATAGGTTATATACATGAATACTGATGGCAAAAACAATAAGAGTAATATTGTATAGTATTATAAATATGTGTAGAATTAAGATACCTAACAGTGATAACACACACAGAAAGAGGAGAGTAAGCAGAGTTAAAGTGTTCTAATGTCCTAATGTTTTGAGGAAAATGGTAAAAGGAATAGTTTGTATCATACTGTAAAAGCCAATGGATTAAGGATCCATATTGTAATCCCTAGGAGGCAAACCATTAAATGAAAAAAAATAAAGGAATGCATAAAATACAACTTAACAGAAGAGAAAAATATAACAAAATATTTGATTAATCCTAAAGAAGATAGATAAATTAAATATAAAACAACGTATTATAGAAAGTCAACAAAACCAATTGCTGTTTGAAAAAGTTACTAAAAACCCTTGAGTAAGACTCTTAAAAAATAATCCAAGCTTGATTTGACATTTAAAAATCCTTTAGTGAAAATCACCAGATTAATAAAGAAAATCCATCTAATCATTTCAATGGTTTCGGAAAAAGCATATGATTAAATTCAATATTAATATAAATTTTAAATTCCTTTGGCAAATTTGGACTATATCCTGTACATACCAAAAAAACACCCTACAATCCACATCACTCTAAATTTGATGAGTTAATAAAATTTGTTATAAGGAACAAAACAGAAGGATCTCCTTTCATTTTCTGTTAATTACCTAACAGTTAAACTTACCCAGCATGATTGGAATCCCCCAAATAAATAATAAAAGTATGAAACTGAATGAAAGAAATTGGACTGTTCTCATTGACAGGTAATATTTAAATAATAGAAGACTAAAAGAAGCTAAAAATATAATATTAGAATAATAGTTTTGCATCATTGTGGGATATGTTCAAAAGTAAAAACTGTATTTTAAAATCACTTTTACAATTGAAACAAATATTAAAGTTAGGAAAACAGTTAAGAAAATATGTATAGAAGAAAATATGTATAGAAGAAAATTGCAAAGTTTTATTGAAAGAACTTGAATATAATTTAAATAAATGAAGGATATGCCATATTCTTGGGTTCTTTTCTCTTTACTGTAACTTCCTAAGATGAGAAAAAAATTCCACTTTCATGGACAGTATGTTTCATTTTTAAAAACCAAAATGGGATTAGTGAGACTTCATCTGGTTTATGGCCAGGTTTTGATTAGTTTATCTTATGTCATTATTCTGACAGGACTTTTTTGTAGTATCAATCAGATACTGAATTATATACTGTTTCGCATTTAATTTTCAAGCAAAACTGAAGTCTTTATTCTTTTTCCTTGCAGATTATGCATTCAAAAGACACATCATTTTCAAATCCTATACAATTGCCTTGCCTGCAGTCAGCTCCAACTGATATTAACTATGAACACAATTGCAAGTCTCAGATATTAACAGAACCTGTTGCAGAGTTAGATTCCTCTTTCCATTCTGTCCTATCATTGCCATCAGGTAAGCTTACTCATAAAAATGTCTAAGTAACTCTATGTACTTTCTATAGTAAAACAGAATCTTATAAATACAAATAATCAAATAAAAGTTACGTTATTTTGTCACTAGGCCTAAGCAGTTTTTACAGAGGAATTTAGTTACATGTGACACTAATGTTTTTAAGTTGATTTTTCAATTACTTTTATACTAATTTGACTCACTTTGAGAAATAACTAGATTTTAACTTCCTATACTATTAAATTTTGTTAAACTTTTGGCAACCTGCTGTGTTGCTGAGATGTTTCTCAATAGTAATGGGCTGTTTTACATGGAGTTTTCCCTACCATATAGTGTTCTGCCATTTATAGTTATAGACTACATTGAATTTTTTCAAGTGGGAGGAAAACCATCTATTGGTTTAGTCAACTTTTGAACCTCAAGAGTATACGTTATCTGAATAAATAAGCCATTTACATCCTACAGCTCTTAGGTGGTTTTAAATTTCCAGTTCTTAATTTTTTGGGTAACTTTCCCAGTCTTTCCTATATTGGATCTAATGTAAATATTTTAGATAGAAAAGAAACATGCCTCACATTCATCACCTGAGGTTCTTCTGTTTATTAGGGAGTTTCTCAAATGGGCTTTTGTTTCCTTTTCAGCTTGTGTTAATCTTTTTAAAGTTTTCACAATTAAGAGACTTTCTCTTTATAATATAGTTTTTTGTACCTATCCTGTTTCCCCACATCTTAATTTAGTTCTTAACAGTATTACAGTGACATGTTAGCTACACCATTCTTTAAATTCTGAATGGGAATTATGTTAGTCAGTCTTTGAGAAAACCTTCATAGTAGGTAGAAATAATAAACACTGTATATTACTGCAGCTAGCATTCAGTGTTAGCATACTCTGGGCCCTGTGTATACTAAGCATATAATACTTTAATTCTCAAAACAACCCCACGAGAACAGATGCTGTTGTCCTCTTCATCTTACATATGAGAAAACTAAGCTTAGAAACATTAAGTATTCATCCATGATTACTCAGTGTCTTAGTCACTTTCCTCATTGCTGGGACAAAACATGAAACACCTGCACCTTACAGGAGAGGTTTATTTTGGCTCACGTTTTAGAAGTTTTCAGTCTTGCGCAATCAGTGGCTCAGCATAAGGGTCTGGGCAGAAGACAGCTGTTCCCTTCATGGCAGACGGGAAGCGGAGTCAAGGGAGGAGAGGGGAAGGGAGATATATTCTTGCAGGTCACTTCCACAGTGACCGCCTCTTCTGACTAGTCCCACCTCCTAACAGCAAGTCAGCTATAATGCCTCCCATCTCCTTTCATACATGATGCTCTGGGGGCAATTTTTAGATATACACTTGACCTTAGCCAAAAGGCGTAGAACCAATTGGGGCCATTTTAGATCTAAATCTTAAAACTGTGCTAATAAATGATGGAGCTAGTTGATTCTGAGGTATTCTCCTAAAACATCTTTTTTGTTTTTTGCCTTTTTAATTTCCTATTTCTTAAACGAGGCTTCCTGTTTCTAGCACTTGGGAGGCTGAGGCAGGAAGATCCCAGGGGTTCAAAACCAGCCTGGCTACATACTGATATCAAGGTCGGCTTGAACTACATAGCGAGACCCTGTCTCAAAAAACCAAAACAGCAGCAAAAAACCTTCCTATTTCATATATATGAAATAATTACTTGGTGTTTGTTTCAATACATAACTGTGGTTTCATTTGGGAGATTGGTGTGTATATAACATACCTTGATCATTTTCTAACCCTTTATTCCCCTCCCTAACTCTCCCCTCCCCTCTCCTATCTCCTAAGTCACTTTGTTTCCTACCATCTCTCCTTTATTTCAATATTTACTTTTATTTTAGGTTTCTCTTCTAAGAGAAACCATGTTTGCTTTTGTTGACATGGCCCTGACAGCTGACACATATTTTTCATCATAAGACATAACCTTGAGAATGTGTATAAATATCCTTCATCTTACAGGCTCATTAAATGAGACATTATGTTTATAATAAATAAAATTAGCTCACCTTCTTTAGGGCAATCCATTCTTTGAATTCATTTAATAAAAATCTCTAACATACACAATGTACTAAATAGGTGCTAGGAATTAAATACAAATAAATCAGGGTACTTGCTTTCCAGTTTAGGACAACTGAAATGTACACTAACAAGTTCAAGTGTGTTAAGAAGTATTGATGAGAGCCCATGGGTCACGTGGTGGGTACTAAAAAAGTTATTCAGGCTAAGACTCTTCTCTGGTTACATCATGTTTTAACTTACAGTGGTGTAAGAGATACTCTTTTTATAGTAGTCAGTTACATCTCTTTGAAGAAACAACATGTAGGAATTAGAATGTATCTGAATCTTGAAATGTTTAGGTAGAATTTTAAGGGAGAACTTTAAATTTATATTCTCATTTTGTCACAGGCTCTTAGGACAAACTCCTTGATGATGACCATGAACCAGTTTGTTTTCTGTGTCCTTTTTCCATGCATGCACGTGGACTTTACCAATAAAATACATTGTTTGAGCAAGAGATAACATCTCTTTAAACCCACTCTTGGATATAACCTGGTTTACATATTCATTTCCTTAAAAATAAATTTTTTGATTAGCAAAACTTCCAGTATATCAACTGCTTTATGACACCCCCCCTCCCCAGGAAAAGTTTAGATGTCTGTTATTAGTGCTTCCCCCCCCTTAGTACTGGGCACTGAACGCAGGGTCTCATTCATACTAGGCAAATGCTCTACCAATTAGTTATACCTCCCACCCTTTTTTACTATTAGACAAGATCTTGCTAATTTGTCCAGGCTGCCCTTAAACTTGTGATCCTCCTGCTTCAGCTTGTGAAGGCATGTGCCATCATGCCCAGCTAGCCATGCTTTTTAAGATTGCTTGTATGTTCTTAAAAGAAAAAAAAAAACCTAATAAATGTGAGCAAATCTTCTTTTAATTTTTTTGGTTGTGACAGTATGAAATATATAAGCATTGTAAATTGAATTTCCCTAAGAATTTAAAGGAAAACTAGTTTGTCAGTAAGTTTTAACCATTGTGAAAGCAGTTTCATTTAATATTGTAAATAAACTAAGAGAATGTGCAGTTTGAGGTTTTCATAAGACTGCATCTGAATTATAGCAGTGTTCCCCTAATTATTGTTATCTTTTGCAAACTTTATTATTTTAAATGAATTTTGTGGTGATGTAGTGGAATGGGTTGTCAGCCAGCTTTGGCTGTTTTGTTAAAGACTTTTAGGATACATTTATTTCCACTCATCTATGAATTATATTTACAATTAGTATTTACCTTACCTATTTTAGGAAGCTCACAAAGCTACTGGTCTGTTAAGATTTTGCTTACTAAATATAGTATTAAATATACTTAATAACTTCCAAAAGATTGCTACCAACATGCTTGGAAAGAGTACTTTGACTTTTCAAACACTTACTTATTTTTGTAAGGTTATATAGTATTTATAGAAAGGAAGCAAAATATTAGTCTGTAAAGAATGATGTTCACTGAAAACATTTTTTAACTTTATTTTTATAGATGTGCCTCTTCATTTTCACCTGGAAACATTATTTAAAAACAATGAAATCAGAGGAGATCTTGCTGCAAATCAAATTGTAGGCAACTGTATCTTACCACCATCACCTGGTATGTCACATTTACAAATCTTGTGCTTCATGTTGCCTTTTTACAGCCTTCTTATTAGTTTTGCATTCTAAGTAAATAAAATTTAACAGAAAAATAAATGTAAATTCTTAATTTTTAATATTCACTTTTTGCAAATCACACACAGACAGAAAATACACAGGAGCTGTGTATCATTTTTGAGGTCCTGAGTTTGATCAACACTAGGAAAAAAAAATGAGTAAATAAAAGAAAACACACAGGAGCAATCTTTAAAAATGTGTGATAACTTCTGGATGAAAATTATGAAACACAACTGATTAATAGAAAATATAAATAATCAGAGAAACAGCATTCCTGTATGGTAAAGTTGATAAAGATATCCATTTGCTTTATTAGTTCACATTTTCTAGTCTGTTTTTTTTTGGTACCGGGGATCGAACTCGGGACCTCACGCTTGTGCGGCAGGTGCCAGAACCACTGAGCTAAATCCCTGGCCCTAGTTCACATTTTTAATGCAATTTAACTTGAAGTTCTAATAGATTTGGTTAGCTTAAAATAATACCATAGGCCCCTGAGAGGACTAAATGAGAAAATATAAAAGGAATTGCTAGAAAATTCAATCTACCTCAACCACATATAGAAACATGCCAAAACTCTGTAATAACTGGATTTTATTTTGTTGACATTTAGGAAAATAGATTCATGAAATAAGACTACATAGTTCGTAATTTATTAGATGACCTAGAAAGAATTGTGTAGCAGAAGTGGAGAACCATTCAATAAATAGTATTGTTAGATTTTTCTGAGAAAAAATTTTAAATACTGTATTCATTTCATATCATGTATCAGAATTCTAGTTGGTTCCAATAATTTTAAGATTAAAACTACATCATAAAACTTAAAAAGAAATTATAATGAAATGTTTGATTGCTCCAAAGGGTGTGAAAACATTATCTGTGCTTGGAAGTAACTGTAAGCCAGAGAAACATTAGCATATTTTGATTATCTGCAAAGTGAAAATCTTCATAACATCAAAAAATCATACAAACTAAGACAAATTATTTCCAGATGAAATAACTACCTAAAAATCTAAAAACTCAAGGGTCAAATGAATGTCTATCAGAACTTGAGTTTTATTATTAAAAAAATCAGCAGCTGTTTAGAGATGGAGGTGCCACTTTGTTGTAGGAAAGCCCTGGGTTCAATCCCTAAAACAGAAAAGAAACAAAAAAATCAGCTTCTATAAAAACTACTAATAACTACATAGAATCTGTAAAGGAATATTGTATGCTAGACAGTGTGACAATGAAAATACAAAATATTTCTGATTAAACTTAAGGATTTTCATGAAAGAAAAAGTCAGTTCAGTGAGGGACATAGGATGTTCCTGTATGCAAAGAAATACTCCATTCTTGTTGAAAGTGTTGTAACTGGCCAGTTTTCCCACAAGTTAATTTATCAGTATAGTGTAATTCTAATCAGAATCACAGAGGCATCCTTTATGAACAAAGTTATTCTGAAGTTTACACAGATGTTAGATTGACAATTAAAAACTGTAAGATCAGAAGAAAGACATTAAATATCAAACTGTTAAGATCATTAAAATAATGTGGTACTGGTGGAAGCCAGATTAAGGCTACATACAAAAAGCTTTGAGACAGACTCAAAGGGTCTCTGTATGATATAGGTGGTGTAGAGGGTGGCTTGGTCAATAAATATTCATGACAACAATAATTTTATGATGTATTCTTTCTATGCCAACACTGGTTGGAGAGCTTTATATTAGGCAATTATATTAATCTGTGAGGTCGGTACTGTTACTATCCTTGAATAACCTGTCCCACATGACAGAGTAGTGGTAGAGCTATGATTAGAACTCAAGCAGTCTGGCTCTCAGTCCATGCTTTAAAGCACTTTAAAGCAAATTTAATCTGTAATCAGTAGCAGTCAATAATGATTCTTTAAATGATATCTGTCCATTATAACAGCACATTACAACAAATTTAAGATGGATGACACTAAAAAATATATTTCAGGCGGACTGAAGAATTACATATTAAAAATGAAGCTTGAATTAGAAAACTAGATGTGACTGGTAATAAAATGAAAATGATAATACCTAACATTTACTGAAAACTTGTATGTTACACAGTTTACTATTTTTGCCTACTGTTTAGTATTATAATCAATTCTAGTAAAAAAATTACTAGTTTTTAAAAAGCACTCTAATATTTCAGATAACATTAAGAATTGATACATTTTTTTGAAAGCACTGTGAGACACATTACAAAGCCTTTCAAATGTGTGTTTTTTTGTAAGATCATTGTGGGGGAAAATTATCTCCTTTACTTTTATTGGGGGGTGGTATCGGAGAACTCAAACTTTTGGGACCTTGCGCTTGTGAGGCAGGTGCCAGAACCAGAGCTAAATCCCCGGCTCTCTCATTTACTTTTATACCTACTCAAAATAAATGTTGACTGAACTGTTAACTCTGTATTCTGACATAATTATTCCATTTTCAAGAATCTAGTCTAATCCTACCAAATGTGAAACAAACTTTTCACAAATACATTTATCTTAGCATTTTTTGTGATAATGAAAAATTAGAAACAACCTGAAGAATGCAATAGGGGAATGGTGAAATATATTCTCTCATAGATATGCAACCTTAAAAGTTCATGAAAAGACAGACACATACTTACCAAAGATTATTAAAGGGAGGCAAGTGTTTCACTTTTAGTATTTGATAAATTATAACCATGAAAGAATATTCCTTTTTTCAACCAAAGGCAATGTGTGGACTTCGTTGAGGTTCTGATTTGAACAAAAGAGCTGTGTGTACACATGTACATACATTATATGCATACTTTTTTATTATTGTTATTTTTCTTTTTTGATACCGGGTATTTAACTCAGAACCTTGCACTTGCGAGGCAGGTGCGGGTGCCACTGAGCAAAATCCCCGGCCCATACACATACTTTTTAAAATAATCCAAGTAATCTGAACATGAACTAGTTTGTAGATATTAATGTATTAATCTGACATATGAAATAAGGCACCATGATTACATAAATACATATATGATGTACTTTATTGCTGGTTCACACTGACATATACAGATGAAAAGACAATTCTGAAATTTAACATATTATAGCAAAAAAAAAATTGGCTGGAAGAGAGATGAAGCAACATTGGTCATGAGTTGATCATTCCTAAAGCTGAATGATAGGTACAAGGGAGTTCATTATTCTAGTCTCTTTTTTGTGTACGTTTAAAATTTTTCCACAGCATAAAGTTAGAAAAAAAAGCACCAAGGACTAGGAACAACTAGCTATGCCTAGTGGAAGACAGACTAAAAAGCACTGGGAAGTATAGATCATGTTTATGTATCATGATGTAATTCTACTCATTGAGGTTGATATGGAGATTAAACTTTGTATAAAGGGAAAACACATTATCCATGAGTATGATTATATTAAAAATCTTCCTAATAGTAATTTCATTATGATGTTGATGATAACTATAATGCCCAACAGCTATGGAATACCTAAATGATGTCTCTAATCAGAAAAATGTACAGCAAACACATGTGGAAATAATGAACAGTTATGGGATAAAAAGAAAGTTGTACTTTTATCCTAATTACAATTTTGACTTAATACTTGAAACATATGAAGTATGAAATGTACAGATTGAAAGTGTGCAAAAGTGAAAGTACATTATGTGTTAGAAGTTAGATGATTTTATTCTAATGTTGCTCCATTTATCTAACTTAAAATGAAGCAGTGTAAATGGTCAGGCATAGACTTTGTACTCTCAATCATGTAATGACACATTACATGCCACACTGGAACAGAAATAAGGATAAGAATGGAATACACTTGAGGTGAAGGCTGCACTATTGTTAGACACATCAATAAGGTATTCTTTTGTATAACATCCCCTTAGGTTTTAGCCTCTGTATCTGTCCTAAATAACTAGCCATTGCCTTTTTAGTGATTTCTACAGAAATAAATACAACTACAGTTCAACATTTTGAGCATTTTGGGCCCTGTGGTTCTGCATTCTAACAAGGTCCCAGGAGATTCAGATGCTATTAGTCCGTGTTGTGCAACAAGGCTTTAAATAATGGAAACAAACGTTCATTACAAAGACCTAAAACAGTATGATGTGTTCAGGGATCTACAAATAGCTTGGTATTCCCGCACAGTAAAGTGCACGAAAGAGTACAAACACATCCCAGTGTGCCTTGCCAAAGAGACTAGATACAGCCTATATTATCTGTTAAATTTTGCATTTATAATGACACTGCTGACTTCAGACAAGGAAATAGGGAAAAGTCACACTGTAGAGGTGAAGAGTAAGTACATGATTAGTCTCAACATGAGGAAATACTGTGCCAGACAAAACCAACTTAAGGGTCTATATTTATCAAAATATTAAAGCTTATGAAAAATAACAGTGGAACTGTTGCAGATACACAACTATAAAGAGACCTGGAAACTAAATGCAATGAGTGACTGGAATTTTCTAGAAAGAACTTTATAGGGATAACTAGTAAAATTTGAACACAGTTTACAGATTAGCTAATGGTGTTAATTTCTTAATTTCTGACAACTGTGTGGCTTTGTAAAAGAATGTCATTGTTTTTGAGAAATATACATTTATCTATCTAAAGCCTCGGGTTAGAAACGAGTACAGAAAGAGGTAAAGCAAATGTGATAAAATATTAACTTTGGGGGAATTGGAGTAAAGGGGACATGGAAATTCCAAGTTTTCTGTAAGTTTAGTTGTGTGTTAAGTTTTAAGAATGGATAGATGAGAAGGAACAAGGGAACCGTAACCAACAAGCGATCCAAAACTACAGGTCTGAGCCTTTACCCAGTCCCTCATGTCTAATCAGCAGACTGTCAATATCTGTAAATGTTTCAAATCTATATTACTACAACAGTCTTAACATGATATATACTGCTAGAAGACACTACAAATTTTTATTTCCTTTCAGTCATACCCAGTGATCTTTTACCAGTGCAAATCTAATTGTCATACCTTCTCCCTGCTCCTATCCCTTTAAGACATCTGAGGCAGCCGCTGGAACCACTGAGCTAAATCGCCAGCCCGGCCCTTAAGGGAATATTCTTAAGAGGACCCCAAAGACCTCCCTACATAGGTGGCTCCTACCTGCTTATGGTTCCTTTTCACCACCTTCCCCTATTCTACATTATCTGGCAACTGTTCGGTTCCCAGATTTGTCCCACTCCCTTGGCCTTTGCACAAGCTGTGATAACAGAAGAGTCACCTGGGGTTTGCTTAAACTCCAGCAAAATAATAGAAGCTCTACCACTGGCTACCCCTCCAGCCCTCATAGGACTACTCCAGCCTCCCCATTTACCATCTTTCTGAGTGGTGGGAAATCTTAGGGGCTGTCTTAGAATTCTACCTACCATTTTCCCTAGCTACTTAAGTCACTATTTTCTTTTTCTTTTTTTTTTTTTTTTTGGTACCGGGGATCGAACTCAGGACCTTGTGCTTGTGAGGCAGGTGCCGGAACCACTGAGCTAAATCCCCAGCCCAAGTAACTATTTTCTTACACTGAGTTTCACACTGTAAATTGAAACCTAATTTCTCTTATCATTTTAACTGTTCTCTTTTAACTTTTGAAGTAACTTCATCCATGACTGGCTGTATGACTGATTTTTCTGTTTTCATTTGCTTTAACACTGTTCAAGTAAGTTCTCTAAATCAGGGCTAATATAATTCTGGAAAAAAACATCTGGCTATCATTTCTTCAACTACCCACTCTTCATTCACTCTGTTCTCTATTACCCCACTTCATTTTTCTTCCTCATATTTTCCATCACTTCAAGTCGTCAACTTTTCTTCCAGCTCCAATCTTGATTTTCCCTTGTCTGTTCTGTTACTCAGCTTAATTAATGCTGCTTGTTTTCAGTTGAGCAATTATAATTTTTTTATAAGATTTCTCTAGAGAGGCCTCTTGCCTTTTCTTTATAACTTTGGTTGTTTTAAAGACCTGTTCATTTGTATTCTGTAAATGTTCCATTAACTATTTCTTGAGAGGGTTCCTCCACTTGTAGTTTGTGATGTTGCTATTCAAGATTTTTAGAGTTTGTGCACTCATCTTTGAAGCTGATATTCCCTGTTAAGAAGATTGTTCTACTGCTATGGATGGTACTGTTTTTACATCAATACTGAAAATATGAGGTCCAGATAGACACTATTCATACTGATAAAGCAAACATTTATTAAGCACTCATTATGCCAGACACTGATTCCTCTAATGCAGGAATTAACTCATTTAGTCTTCATAACTCTAAGACAGTTATTATCCTTGTTTTAAAGATGAGTTAACAGGTATAGTGACTCACTATGTGTCTGAAAATTGTGTTAAATTCATTGTTTTAAAAAAGTGAAAGAAGCCAGGTATGGTGGCAAATGCCTACAATCTCAGCACTTGGGAGACTGAGGCAGGAGGACTACTATGAGTTCAAGCCCAGCCTGAACTACAAGTGTGACCCTGTCTAAGAAAAAGGAGGGAGGGTGTATGTGAATTTTTAAGAAGTATGACACAACAATTTTACTCTGAAATTATCTCTGGCTACAACAATAAAATTTGACAAATGTTCACTAAACAGTCTGGTTCTTTCTCTCAGGGAGTCCTAGTCTGTTGTGACCATAGTGGGTGGACTTCTCTTGGTCCTAAATTATTCCCAGATTTAAAGGTAGGCAACTTTAGGATTCAGATCATATTCAACCAAGAACTAATCTAGAATACTTTGAGAAGACCACCTTCCTTTTACATCCTCTTCAAAAAAACAAAAAACAAACCCAAACAAAATGGAGCAAACACAGCAAACTGGGCACTCTGAGAATCTTTTTAAGGAATCCTATTACATGTATTTTTAGCTTAAGAGTTGTTCATCTTGGTATTTCACTATATGTATTTTGTACTGGTATCTTAAAATCCAATATTGTATAACTAAAAACAGATGAATATGTACATTATCTATTTGTAATTTTTTTTCTATTTGTATTAAGAAACCAAAACCTCACATTTCCTTTTCATTTGTTTCAGCTCAGAGTACTTCTTCCAGTCAATGGAGAAATGGATATTCACCTATGTGTAAACCTCAGATAAGGTCAGAATCTTCTATACAACTGTTACAGGGAAGAAAGAAAAGACATTTGAGCGAAACAGCAGTAGGTAGGTTAAAATGAGGATATGATCATTAGTGTTAAATATTGAAAATAAATAAAATTTTGCTTTCAGAGAATCCCTGAATCACGAGTACCTATAACCCGAAACAGTCACTAATCACACAAAACATCTATGACCCTATGAATATATTCATGTAGCTAATGAACAATTTGTAGACTCAGTATCAGTATTTATCCACTTCGTGGCAATTAAGAATTTCCTTCCAATGTTCCCCGACTAGTTGTCTTCCATCAACTGCTGTCGGGATAAGATTTTAGACTCCAAGGTTGTTCTGGACTCAGACTGGGTCAGTACAAGACTGCCTTACAGAAATTTATCACCATTTTTAAATTCTTCAGGATTTTAAGAAAGAGGTCATGATTTAACCATCTTGTGCAGTTCTCCTAGAAGTCTTTAAATGTATAGCTTCAAATTGACCAAGAGTTAGCAAAGTGTGGTTCTTTTTGGGGAGATAGGGGGAGGCAATCACTGCTATTATTGTTAATGATAAAACTGGCAAGATATATTTTGATTAGCAAGTTATCTAGTTTTGGGATCTTATTCATTGCTCCAGTGAACCTAACACTGTATTTATTAATCAAGTATTCTCCAAATATAACATCAATAGCATACCCAATAAATTAGAAACTAATTACATCCACAGTGTACTGAACTAAAATTATACAAAACAGGTTTAATATTCATCTCTAGTGTCTATAGAAATGTCACCAAAAACAGACCAAGTCACTACCTGACGAGCAAGTGCATGGACTATGGCACAAAATGAACCAACTCCCATGTTTCTACATGTTTCACTATTCCCTTTATTGTCTCACTCCTAAGCATGACCAAGAACCACCTAGCTTTTAGGGAACTTTCACACATGCATACCAAAACATAGGAAAATTTTGTCTTTAACAAGATGCATTATGAAATACATTCCCTAAGATATAAATAACAGTGTTTCACTAGAATTAATACTTTAGATCCAAGTTCATGTTTAATGCAGATACTGTACAAGGGAAAGAACAAAGGAAATGATATACTACAAAGAAATAACTAGACAATTTGCAAACTGGAGGATATATGGTCAAGTCCATGTAATAAATCATGTCATGAAAAATGAACTATTCTAGATTGTAGGAAACCTAGGAGACAATAACCAGTTTCATTTGGAGGATCCTGATTCGAAGAAGCTAAGTCACAAAGGATATTTTTTAACAACTGAAGAAATGTAAATGTGAACTGGTTATTAGATTATATATTATACAGGAAAATATTCTTAGGATTCATACTGAAGCAACACAGCCAATGGTGGTAAATAAGTGAATAAATGCATAAATAGGGAATGGAAAAAAAAGGAAAAAAAGGTATGAATAAAAGTAAACAGCTAGTCAATATCTAGACAGAAAAATTTCATCCATGAAATGCTATAAAAAATAAATATCAGACATCAAAAACTTTTAGAAATTTTAGTTGCAGAAACTTTCAAAAACAAAGTGAGATATGAACAAAATGAGAGAACAAAGAAAATTATGATTAGTCCTGACATGCAACCACTAATACCGGTAGGAGTCACAGAAAGCAAAGACAGAGAGCAGATGGTATTAGTCCAGAAATAATATGAAATGTAGTAGATTAAAAAAAAAACCCCAAAAACCCAAGGTCCCAGAAAATAGAAATGCTTTGTATAAAGCATGACTATAGATAAGGCTCTTTTATAATTTCATTTTGCTTACTTTCTGATACATGAATTTTAAAAACCAATAGGGAAACACTCACCTTTCACCTAATTGGGAAAATAATTCTGATAATCTTGACCATGTTTAATTTGTGACATTCTGAATGGTTCTTTCCATGGCAGGAGAAAGGGATAGATTTGAGGAATTTGCTTTCCAACACACAGAACCAGGATCCCATTGCAATTTTACTGCTGTCTCTAATTTCAATGTTATAGGAAGAACCCAGAATTCATCATCACAAGTAGGTTTTTGTTTTGTTTTGTTTAGATTGAATTCTAAAATTGCTTTATTTTGAAATAAAATGAAAATGGCTTGCATAATTATTTTGTTAATCTTTTTCAGCCTTATTTACTAGCACATTTAGAACTACCTTATTAGGAAACTATAAATTTGATTAGATAAGACGTTTTTTACTTAGAAGCTAAGAGTTTATTAATCTATGATTATGGATTCTTTTTCTGTTAAAAACATTTATCATAGCTGTCTCTACTCTTTAACATATGAATCTAAATATAGTTTTTGCTAAGGAGAGTTCAGGATTTATGTTGTTAATCTGTTTTGTTTGTCATATGGTCAGGGACTTAGGAGGTCCAAAGGTGAGAAGATTTAGAAATGAATGGTCTAGGGCCGGGGATTTAGCTCAGTGGTTCCACTGCCTGCCTTGCCTGCCTCGCAAGTGCAAGATCCCAAGTTTGATCCCCAGTACCAAAAAAAGAAATGAATGGTCTGAATGACGGTCGGGTAGAAGGAACACATAAATGAAGCTCGTGATCATTACCTTTACTAAAGGGTTCACCAAAAGAGCATTTCGTAAGCCTTTCCTAATAATAAGCATAAATGTTTGTGCACATAAATACACACTACACACCCACAAAGATGTTTTAACTTAGAAAATATAGGCATGCACTCTTAATTGGTAACATTTTATAATCAGATTTTATAACAATACATTTACAAAAACTATCCCACAGGTATACTGCACATTTTTTTAATAACTAATGAAAGAATATCACCACGGGTAACTAGATACTACTGTAAAGCAGTACCATAATCCTGTTTTGCAGAGTACTGCCCGGCGGAGATTAAGAAGTGAAAGTTCTTATGACATAGATAACATTGTGATTCCTATGTCATTAGTAGCCCCAGCTAAGTTAGAAAAGCTCCAATATAAGGAAATACTGACTCCAAGGTATGTATACTTACTGACATCTATTATTCTTTCCTCTTCCTTCTTCAATAAATTTAAATTTGGAGTGAAGTTAAAATTTTAAGTGAGAAGATGCTCCCCTTCTTCCTGCCCTACTTGTAGAGTCATGGAGGGAAAAAGGTGAAAGAAAACACCTGTGATAAGGAAAATAAGATTTTAAAATATTGCTAAGTCAGCATTAAACACATTATCTAGAAAGATGAATGGAAAGGACTGGGAGGATATCCATGAGGTTAAAGAGGTTATTTATACAGGGAGATCATAACAAAGGCGGAGTGACAAGTATATAAGGCTTAGTGATACTGAGCTTTTGCATAGGTTAATAAAGGGAGTTAAGGCTAAGAGAACCAGATTGCGGAGGTCCCTGAATGCAATATACAGATCTTCTATAGGCAGCGATGTTAGCACAATTTTTTAGTGATTAAAGTAGTTTCTTAAAAATTTATGAATATGACACCAGAAAGTAGACACAGAAATGGCTGGAAATCAAGACATGAACCTTGTAATAACAACTACAGTTAATTTCTACTTATCTCTACTTTAATTTCATCATTTGTCTCATTACTTCATTACTGTATTAAGAGAAGTAATCTAGGAAGTAATGAAAGCTGACAAAGAATGTCCAATTTTTCTTAAAAAAAAAATCATTTTCTCACCAAAAAAATCAGAAGACAGTACAGATCAAGTCTTTTTTCTCCTCATTTTTGGCTAAGCCAGCTTCCTGGCATATCACTAACTCAATTCAAAGTCAGTACATAATTAAAAGGTAGATATATGAGGGACAGTCTGTTCACTCTAAGGTAAAAAGGAAAGACTTCTTGTCCTTTTCTTATAGTACAAATACCCTTTCTCTTTAAATAAAGTATTAAAATATCCATCTGAGTTATGGAAGTTCCAAGGACAGAAATGAATATATTTAGCTATACTTATATAAAATTATATAGAATAAAATTGCTATGTTTAGAAAGATTAATAAAAGGTGTTTGAAATGGGTTTGTTATCTTCAACAGCTGGAAGATGGCTGTTCTTCAGCCTTTGGATGAATGTAACTTAGGTGAAGAGGTAAGCTGCTTTTCATTTAATAGGATAACTGCACTTTACATATAATGATGCACGCTCAATTTGACATTTAAAGAACTAAAAGGGAACACAAATCTTTTAACTTCTACTAATTTTTTTCTTTACACATATAAAAAGGAAGCTTTTTTTTTTTGGTACCAGGGATCGAACTAAGGACACCTTGCACTTGCGAGGCAGGCACCAGAACCACTGAGCTAAATCCCCAGCCCAAAAGGAAGCTTTTGACAAAAGGCTATTAATCCTACTAAAATGTTTCTGTGCATATTTGAGTACCAAAGTAACACAGATACAAAGAATTTATATGAACTGACTGAATTTATGTGGTGAGCTACATCTATCTCGGAATTAGTCATATTTTTCTGCACAAGGAGACTCAGTCTCAAATTATTCATATCTACAATGCCATTATAAAAATATCAGTTTTGCTTTAGAATTTGGAATATTTTAGACTTTAGAAAGACAATGTGATACATATGAAACATTCCTACAGTTCAAGACAATGCTGTACTCAAATATGCATGGGAAATGGAATATACATTAGAAATAATCTCACTCCATTTTAGATCAAGCTGTGTGTGAACTGTATGAAAAAATTGTTTTTTCAGATATTTGGATTTTGGAATTGCAGGTAAAAGACCGTGGATCTGTATAGATAAAATTACATCAAGACAAAAACAATTAGGGGGGAAAATACTGTGTAACTAATTGCAAAGTGATGGTCTGTCAAAGCAGTATAGTGTAGAAGATACTTGGTTTCTGTTAAATACAGTGTCTCCGCCCAGCAGATTTTTCACCTTTCCTTTAATTCCCTTCCCACTTCTAAGGTACTCTTCCTGATTCACTGATCCTGGCCAGGAAACTCAGACTCCTAAACACCATAACCCAAATAGTTATCTAGATTAGAACCCGAGAGAAGTATTAAATAAATTCTGGTTTATCTCAGACAACAGTTTTTCATATTAACAAGTTCTAAGAACAATTGTGTTCCATAATGGAAAACCATTAAAAACTGTGTTAAATGAACAGAGCACTGAGAATATTTTATGGAAGGTGTAACAAATGCAAAGCCCAACACATTTATAATCTAGGTAAGTCTTCAAACAGAAGTCCAGAGTAAAGAGTTTTTTAAAAAAAGTTCCAGCTGGGCATGGTGCCGCATGCCTGTAATCCTAGCATTCAGGAGGATGAGGCAGGAAGGTCGCTGAAACTTCGAGGCTGGTCTGGATTACATAATGAGTTCAAGTCCAGCCTGGACCACATAGAAGACCCTATCTCAAAAAAAAAAAAAAGCTCCAGACTCCCATTTGAGGCTGATTTCCTAACATCTGTTTTCTGGACTGACATTGATTGCACTTATTTTAAAATTAAGTTTGCTTGCTATTGTTGAAATCTGTGTCATATTTCAAAATGCTTCCCATAAAAGCAAAATATTTTTCTAATTCCAGGTAGAAGATCTTTCTGATGAAGTCTTTTCTCTAAGGCACAAAAAATATGAGGAGAGAGAGCAAGCCAGGTGGTCACTATGGGAACAAAGCAAGTGGCATAGAAGAAACAGCAGGCAAGTATTTTAAACTGAAAACCCAAAACTGTAGGATCCATATGGAATGAACAAAACTTCATGAAGTTTGGGGGACATCACTAAAAAGGATAACAAAGTACAGTATGTAACGTCAGCTGTTTTTGTCCTACCATGTGCAGTCATGCACTGCATATACTAAGCTTATATATTTAGGCTGATTACATGTTTAAATGTGTTTCTGTTATTTTACTCTATTTCTCATGAAAACTCTATGTAAGTAAAGTAGGTCAGTGGACCTAACATAGGTCTGGAATTCAGGCCATCCATTTTAACATAAAGTACTTCAAAAATAGTATTTTAAAGCAAAATTTCTCAAGAAATCTATCTAGTCTCAAAACCAAATAATTTAAAACTTTTAAAAACATAAACGGATCTTGGAGAAGGGAGAATAAACATATTTAGTAATTATAGATTTGAAAGAATCCCTGGTATTTTATGCTACTTACATTTTATTATTAATATACCCAAAACTCAAAAAAAGCAAGATGTGAAGTCTGCCAGTCATTTTAGTTAAGGGCCATCTCTCATTTAATTAGTATTATTATAAAAACACCTTTTTCTGTATAGGTCTCAAGGAGATTTGCTGTAAATCGTTGTTCAAGTTCTCCTTACACAGATGAGATTTTGGAATTTTCATCCTTTTCCATATTCCAGAAATAAAACTTTCTAGAAATACAGAGGGAAATGTGAATTGAGGCTTTCCTGGCTATTCTGGGAGATCAAAGATTGTGAGGGTCAAGGAATTGCCCTCATTTGTCTTCCAAAACACAAAAAGCAAACCAAATTATGTAACAAAAAACTCACTAGAATTCGGCAGAATAATGAAGTACAATATAAAAGCCTTTAAGATACGAAAATAATAGCACCAGGAATAAATGATTTTTAAAAAAACTTTTATGCAGGACTGTTTAAAGAAAACCACCAAGCTGACTTAGTGACACCTTGGGTTCACAAAATGTTAAGATCTCAAGAAATAACAAACGATATTTATTTTCTTGCTAGAGCTTACAGTAAAAATGCTGAAGGTCAGGAGATGCTTCTGAAAGAATCCCCGGATGACTTCAGTGGCAGTCAGCACTGCACTGCTCCAAGTCCCCCTGAGCTGCCTGCAGCACATCGTGACCTATGTGCACATGGCTCACCCTTTTCAAATGAAAGCCAAGAGATCAAGGTACGTGCATGATTAACTTCACTGCCTTTTGACTATTAAAAAAATCTGCGTGGAGAAGCTGCTTATTGCAAATTTAGTTTCATCACTGCGTACCAGTCTGTCTAGCTGCTGGGTAAGAATCAGATCTGTATTGCAGCATTCCACCTGTCACTGTCGGCAATCATTCTATTGTGCAGCATGTCAGCACCAACTTCCACCTGCTTACCTACCTAGCAGGGAATGGGCATGCTTCTGAAATTTCATTAGCAAACAGTTTTGACTAAGGGAGAATAGCAGCTGGTATGCAGTAAATAGCAGCTGCTGTTTCTCTTCCTCCTCTTGTATGTTTTTACTTGTCACCTCATAGAGCCAGTTCTTACCTTAAAGGTAGTGCTTTTTAATACTGCATCCACTTGTGCACCTTTCTTCATAGATGCCAAAAAAACAGATCTAGAAGGGAAAATGGGGTCTGTGGACATTAATAGGCACATTGCAGAAAACTCAGGGAAGAGTCAGTGGATAAGGGGCTTTCCTAAAGTGCACTGAGGCTAAAAATGAAGACCAGTGCCCTGTGGCAGCACTTCCTCTTCTTGACAATAGCAAAGTGAAGAAATAATTCACCAATCACTGAATTCCCAGAATGCCCCACTTGACTTATTTAGGTCCAAATGAAAACATATATTTATATGCTATAAGAACAGGACAATGGTTATGAAATTGGCACTTACAAATGAATTTAAACAAAACAAACTGAAACTTAACCAAAAAAGTTTTCCTTTTCAGTCTTTGTGGTGGGAACGACGGGCTTTTCCGCTGAAGGATGAAGACACAGCAGCCTTGTCATGCCAAGATGAAGGAAAGGAGGAGCCCGAGAGGCCAAGCGCAGCCTTCCATGGTGAAGTCTTAGGTACCAGTGCATCAGAGAACAGACACCATCCAAAAAACCAGTTAGATGGAGTGGAAGAATATAAAGCCTTAGGTCTAGGACTTACAAATGTTAAAAAAAATAGGTGACAGGGAACAAGTTAAGGAACTAGGTAAATGAAAAAAGATAGGAGAAAAACAAGCCATGTTTTGGACCTTCCACATCTTTGCGTCCCAATTCCAGGATAAGAGAATGGACTGCATGTATTCATCTTTTATGCTGCCTATGAAACAGACAAGATAAGCCTCTTTTTCCTTCTTGAAGTGCAGAAGTAGCTAGCTTTTCACCTATACACAAATGTTCATCAATGTTCATACAAATTACAAGCACCGATATATTAACTGTTGTAATGTGACATCCAATCACATTACCATGTAATTTTTAACACACCACACACCCACACAAACCCCTGCATCAAATGATTCTTTTTTCTATTCCTATGACAAGTCACTGAAATTCCCTTAGAAATATACTGGAATGTATACATGTATATACAATATATACACACACATGCACACAAGCATAGTTTTAAAACTGCACTGGCAATGACCCACTCCACTTGAGAATGCATGCTTGGACTACCCTACAAAATGTCAGCTGTAATACAAAGCACGAGTCTCCACTGAGGAGACACCTATGAGTTTGACTATGGAGAGGGAGTAGTTTTGGATTTGTTTTTAACATGTTTAGAAAAGAGTCATTTAGGGAAATTCTTCTGTCAGGAAACACAGTTCTCATTTATTCAAATGCTGGTTTCTGCTAGGCTAACCACAGGGATTGTTTACTTCTAACAGAGTGAAGACAAGCAAACTGGAGTTAATTATCAGTGCAATTTTAAACAATTACATCTTTGAAAACTCAACTTGTTTTGCCTATATTATTTTATATTATCTCATGAAGAAAAATCAACTTAAAAATGTGGAACAAACAGGAAAAGTCCTTCATTGTACTGTTTTTTAAAGTGGTTGTAATTCTAGCCAGTTTGGTCCTTCATTGCCATAATTATTCAAATAAAAATCTATTCTTAGTTGCATCCCAGATTGAGAATGAAAATGTTCAAAGGACAATACTTCAGTATTAGATACTAAGGAGCATACATTAAGGAAGACTCCTTTTGAAATTATTACTTCTTTTTCCTATGTGAAAGTTGCGAGCAATTTGTATGTATCCAATTAACTGAAAATTCTGGCCATCTGCCCTGGTCTATGGGACTTAACAGTAAGTTTTTGTTTAGGATTGGAAATTATACTGTTCCGTTTGAAGGAAAAAACAATTTCCAATTCAATACCGACAAACTTTTGCTAGTAGTTTTACTGTTCATTTATTTTTAAAGAAAAAGAAAACAAAAACCAGACAAACCCAAGTTGTCCTGGTAAATAAATTCAAATCTTCGTCATGTCTGATATTATATAATCTTCTATGTAAGTTTTTTAATTAAAGTTATTTCTATATGCCTTGTGTGATAGAATTAAATGCTACCTATTCATAGCACATGTTCCTCCTAAACCAAAATTAAGACAATACTAAGAATCACATTTTTACTCACAGTGTAAGAAAAAAACCTAACCAAGTTCTATTCCATCCCTAATAAGGTAAATATTTTGAGTTTTATCTCCTAAGAAATTTAATACTGGTCCTGTTACTTCTTGCCATATTTATCACAGAATATTTAGAAAAATACAGTATCTGACACATATCTGTAGTTTCTATATAACTGGGAACACAGCTCAAAGTAATTTAGATCATGGATGAACTTTGTAGCCTGTCATCTCTTTGCCTAGCTGGTATTTCTTGGGATAAAATACAGATTCTTGGGGTCAAGATCCATAGTTCCAGGATATTCTCTTGATGCTGTTACAGGATAGTTAGACTGAAAATAAGACAATGGTATTAAGTAAAACAAGCTTCTTTTTCGTCTAATTCTAAGGGCTCTATTTGTTTAAAAGGGAAGGACAGAACCCCAGATCCTACCCTACTAGATCCTTCCCATCGTGCCACCCTACTGCTGAGCTTTAAATGGAACAAAAATACCTGTCCTACCACTTACAGGAATAATTTATAGGTTTAATGAGATTATATAAAAATATTTTATAACCAACAAAACATTAACTTATGTAATGTTAGCCGCTTTATGGTAAGTATCCTCTAAATTCTACAAATAGTACTGGAAGCTTTCCACACCTCATGTGGTCCTCAACACAACCTGCATGGTTGTTACAGTTACAGTACATTCAACATATAAGTGAGTTAGAAGTGCAAAAAGGATGGGTGACCTGCTAAGGGCAAATAGCTAGAAAGGGACAGAGTCAGAATTCATTCAACACAATGGAAATTCCAAATGAAGGCTTTACTTTTCCTTTCTGTGCAGAGCTAACAAACAGCAGCACTCAGCAATCTCAAGAATGGTGGGTGAGATGAAGAAAACCAGGAGCTGGAAGGAATCACTGAATAACCTGCTTTGACAATGCAAACACCTTGATAAAACCCATACTTGCATTTTAGAATCCCTGGGCTTCATATATTGCTTTTATCATTTTTAATGAATTGAGTAGAAGGTGAAAGTGAAAAATCTTCCATGCAAGACTATGGTTTGACATCCCACCCAAACTTGTATTTTTTAGTTCTACTCTACTCATATCATCAAATCAGAAAGACAGCAATATGAATTAGGAAAAACAAAGATTCCCTTTGCTGTTACAGAACAGCTGATGGAAACTATAGAACATTCTTTTTAAAAACACAGAAAAAAATTTTTTTTCTACTATGAGGGCTAATATGCCCTCCTTAGGCAGTAAGACACATTTCTGTTTGTAACCTTATCAGCCATATTTTCACAATATAAAATATCAATTCTCCCATAAAAACAGGGTAGTTGACTCTAATCTTTAAATTACATCGCTAAAATGTAGTTAATACACACCAATTTCTAACCTCTTAGAACATTCTGTACAAAAGATTTTAATCACTGGAATAATTGCTCGGGAAAGCAGCGCTGCCTCGATTGCGATGTGATCTGGTAGTCTATGTTCTTGTTTTCCAGTGAAAAGATTTCATGAACACAAACACTGGGTTTCTTGTGGTCTCATCGATCAAGAGAACGTTTCTGAGCAGCTTCTGAGCAAACATTTCTTAGTAAGTTGATCACAGATCTGGGATCTTCACTCCTCATAATGGCACTGCCAGACACAATCATGTTAGCTCCTGCCTGGAAGAAGTGAATACTTAGGTTATGTCTTCAAGAAGCATGAGAGCCTGCAGTAATTCTTGGACTACGGTTTCCACCACTCAAAAGCTGCTTTGAGATGAGCACACTGAAGCAATCTAATTCAATGAGGTAAGAAGTTAAAATGTTCCAGAATAAAAAGATAGTTATTTTAAACACATCTAAGAAATCACTGAACTTCTAGTTAAATCAACTCTAAATAAACTATGCAGTATTTTTGCTAATATTTAGATAAGGCTTTAAACCCTTTTAGGTTTTTCCCAATATATACCAATGCTCCTACAAAGAAACAAGCTATTATTATCTCTGAATCAATTAGATGAATTTGTGGATAACCTGAAAGGACAGTTATTGTGAAAATGTGAAACTATCCATAAAATACTGCCAACATTAAATTTAAATAACATCATTTTGTGTCAGGAAGAATGGAATATTTATGCCTCCTTAGCATTCTAGAATACTAGAAAGATTTTCAAGATGGTATTTTAGAAGCAAAGACTGTGGAAGCAAATGAAAACAACAAAAATAAGAGACCTCCAAATTTAGCTCTGAGCTTCCTAGGATTTGACTTGAGGGAATCTCAATCTGTTATGTAATTCATTGTAAGAAAGGGGAGAGGAGAACCACAAACAGAAAAATTTCTCCAGTAAGACCCTGTCATATGTCAATAGTGTGAGATCTCCAACAACATTCTTTATAGAAATAGGGTTATCACTTAACATGTCTCTTTGTTGGAGCAGGAATAGCATAATAGCAAAGCATAGTTCAGTATAAAGCAATTCCACAAGGGACAAATGAATATATGCTCAATAATCATCTGAGTAGCACTCCCCTCCTCACTTATTGCTGCCAAGCTCTGGACAGGTAGGTATCAAGCAGAAAATCATGACTGTTATGGAAGAACCTGGAAGTATAGATATACTATACTGCTGAATAAAAGCAGGTTGTGTAGACAGGTGTGATGGTGCACACCTGCAATCCTGGCATTCAGGAAGCTGAGTAGGATTACAAGTTCCAGGCCAGCCTAGACTTCATAGCAATACCCTGTCTTAAAGAACCCTGCACCCTCCCCAAAAAAGCAAGCTGGCCATGTGCAATAATTGCCTCCTAGTATACGAAGCATGACACACTCTTATGAAGCTCAGGAGCTCAACTAAGCTAAGCAAGCTGTGTGAAAACAGAACAAAGCAAAACGAATATATGTCACAGCCACAAAAGGATCAAATGGGCATCGGGCCTAGATATTTATCAAAAATTGTTCAGTTCTTATAAGTGAAAATTCGAAATACTTCTAAAGAACAGTATGATAATTACGTCAAATTTCTGTTTTTTTTAACCTCTTTTGGCAAGGGGTAAAAGATAACTTTCCTTTCCCCAACTTGGAAAAGTTTCTCACTCCAAGGCCTTGGAGCTTAATGATCTTCCAAAGAACTCAAATTCAACATTCTCTTCTTGCATTAATAACTGCAATTTACTATTTAACAATCTATGTCATTTTAGAAACCGACTTATTGCTCTGTTTTCCTAGTTTTACAATTGGGCAACAGCAACAACAAAAAAATACTTTCCCAAGAAAGATAGTCAATTTAGGAAACAAGAAAAATGTCTTTGGCCCACCAGACAGTGACAGGTGTTATCTGATGGGAAATGGGTCTAGTCACAGTCAGGCAGCAGTCTCACCTCTGCACACTTATGGACAGTGTCAGGACCTACGCCACCATCGACCTCTATATCCAGAGATGGAAACTGGGTCCTCAACCAGTGAACCTAGACACACACGAACAAATAAGTGACTCCTAAACAGGAATGTCGGGGAAAAAGCCCAAATAGACAAAAAATCAAATAGTTTTATTAGCTAGCCACTAAAACGCCAAATCAGTACAAAACAATATTGGGGAACACACACTTTGTAATGTATGGAAATGAATTAAGCTTTATAAAAGCAACCTTTTTTTCTGCCTGGCAAAAGGCATTTGATTTGCCATAGTTTTGCAAAACCTACACTTCTTGGAAACAAGACAAAGGCAAACTATTGATACTCAATGAAAACCCCAAGATATCTAGAGGCTACGGCGATAAAGGTTTCAAAAGGAAATTTCCCGTACCGAAAGTTGAAACTGTGAAGTCTGACAACAAGGATGACGACATTGACATCGATGCCATTTAAAAGGATGCCACCTAGCTAACAGTGTAATGCTACAAATTGTTCTTCATTATCAGCCAGAAGTGCAACATGTATGTGCAGAAGGTAAAATGGCTTAACATTGTGCTATACTTTATACTAAAAATCTATTGCCATGAGTGGTCTGTAATTAAGCCCAGTGAGACATCTAGGGAGTCCAATACACATCAGTGAGCAGATGTAGTTTGCTTATTTACAGCATGTTTCTTTTGGAAAAACTAGTGATGGACATATTTGGATCACATTTATACAGTTAAAATAAAGATTTGATTTTGGTCATTCTTCAGATTTTGGGCTCTGAATGACACTAAGTAATTGGCTCCTATTTAAAATGTTGCACCATCATTTATCCTATTGGGTCCTTGGAGCCTGGTAGGTTCTACTAAAGCGCTGAGACATAAACACAGACTCACTTGGAATTACTTTGTTCAGTCTTTTAGAAAGATAGCACTTTCAATGTTTGATCTCTAGTCCCTCAAATTGGCATATAGTAATTCTGGGGTAGACCAATAATCCAATGACAGTTCAACATCTTAACTAAGAAGTAAAAATGACCTGAGTGTCCTATAAATAATTTCTAAGAGCAAGTTTTGAAACTTGGAATTGTGATTTTTCATTTCATGTACACTTGCCCCAGTTGTAGTCTTCAGTGTGGATTGTACGTTGGGATGAGCCAGGGAAATTATAAATTTGCAAAGAAGTGTTCTGTGTGTATGTAGTGGTTGTACTGAAAAAATTCAGACTTTAGGTATGATTAAATCTTATGATTTTTGTTTGGGGGAAACAGGTGCACTTAATCTAGCAAAAGCTGAGCATAGTTTTTCAGCTTTTATCCTTAAGATTTAAATTATAATTTTGAAATGTTTAGATAAAAAAAAAAAAAAAAAAAGGAAATTTCCCGACAGGCATATAATACCAGTTGTGAATTCAAACTCTAAATCTATGAGAGCTATTCATCCTGTATTAAAATGAGGCAGGCATCCCATTCCTCACCTACCTAACAGGACACGTCTCCACAGACGAATCTTTCAATATATGCTAACTGAATAAACACAGTATCAAATCCCTCTGTTACCTTTGGCATCATGTCTTCCATGAATTTCTGTCCTCCAAATCCAGGTTCTACTGTCATGACCAAAGCCATATCGATTTGATTAGCCCATGGTGCCAAATACTCAACCGTAGTTCCTGGTTTGATGGCAAGGCCAACCTGTAACAGAGATAAATGTGCTACATCACATTAACATGTATTTCCCTATGTTACTGTGGCATATCAAACCCAGTAGAAATATCAATTCTTATCAAAAATGATAAATGGAATAAATTATCCAGACCACTATATGTTTGTTTTTTTTTAAGCCAATGTGGCTATCAAATGTAAATGGTTCCAAATAGCAGTAACTTTCAGGCAAGATTAATGGAATAAATTCTGACAAATGACTCATACTTTATCTTTGGCTTCATAGGTGAAGGAATAGCTGTTTAAGCTAGGTCTTCTTTACCTATCAGTTCCTGTTTTCCACCAAATATTCCAAATTCTGCAAGGGAATAACACAAACATTACTGCCATCAGTGACTTCTTACCTTCATCCCATTCTCTCGGATATCTTTGATCAAAGCCCCTGGGTTGTCAGTGGCCTCAAGATGAAAGGTATATTGATTGGCTCCTGCTATGGCCATTGGCTTCACCCACTGTTCCGGCCTGGCCACCATCATGTGCATGTCTGGCAAGAAAAGACACAGCTCCTAAGTATCACCAGAAGGAAAGTATCTGGCTCCTATTATGACAGCCCGTCTGTAGTTTTGACCATTTTGAATATAAACTCTTCTGGTATGACAAAAATTACTAAGTTATACTTTTGTACAGGTAGTTTCCCTTTATTCTGAAAACAGTTTGGTTAAATTCATTTACCCCTTCCCCCAAATGTCCCTCCCCCATGTTTCAATGTATCAAAACTAAAGACTATAAATCATGAAACCAGGTTCCAGGGCCAGGAAATGCCACTCTAAAAAACTTAACTAACTCCTATTATACCTGTAAACCTGTATAGCCTATTTCTCTCAGAAAGCTAATTTTTGTTATTCACCATTTATTCTTTCAACCCACCTTTACTGAGCATTTAATATACTATTAAATACTCTAGGCCTTAGGTTTATGGCAGAAAGCAGACTTTTGACTGCTGTTTGTCTGCTATAGTGAGAATTACATGCTTAGTGAGAGTAACACAATAAATAAAAAATTGCCTGACAGTTAATAGCACCAATGTAGTGGGGCAGGGGCTGCACCAGGGGAGCGGAGGTCAGGGAAGCACCCCAGCAGTGTTTCCCTGCAGTGGGTTCTGCAGGCCATGGGTTCTCTTCCAAATGAAATGGGAAAAACACCACAGGATTCTGGATGAAGAAATAAGACTTGACCGATGTGGCTACTGTGACAGTAACCGAGGTAGAAAGGGTGATGGCAGCAACTGAGTAGTCTGCAAGGTTCTGAAGATACAGCCACTAGGAGCTACTGATGGATTCTGATGTAGAAGATAAGAAGAAAGTTAGGATGGCAAGGATTTGGGCCTCAGCAACTAGAACAGACCAGCCAGTACCTGAACAACAGAATCGCATAGGACAGACAGACTTGATGACAGACAGGTTGACCAGGAGTCTGCTGTTCATCTTAATTCTAAAGCTTGATTCACTCAAGTATGTAAGGGAGAACATGGGCGTGGCCTTATCGAAGATCTTGACTTAAAACAGTGTTTCATGAGAAGGAAAGGATAAGTTAAGAGACTAAACCAAGAAATAATTCTGTGAACAAAGAATCCTGTGCCAGATACAGGGTAGTGAGAAGAGTTCCTGAGGTTTTTTTTGCTATGAGTACATTTATGACTTAGCCAAGCTGTACTTAAGAAAAGAACTGCAGTATTTCAGAACTAAGATTATAAACTTTAACAAAGCTTAGAAAAAATGTTAGGAAGAGTGTAGACAGCTTTACTAATGAAGTCAAGTTTAAAGTTTATTTCGAAACTAGAAAAAATAAATTACAATTTCAGTAGGCAAAACTTTCCCTCCCTCCTTCCTTTCTTTCACATTACTGGTGACTGAACCCAGGACCATCGCAATGAAGTACATTCCCAGCCCTCTACGAAACATGGTCTCACTAAGCAGCCCAGGTGAGACCTGAATTTGTGATCCTCCTGCCTCAGCCTCCCAATATGATGGGATTACAGGATGTGCAACAATATCTGGATTTATTTTTTAAAAATGTATTCAATCTGATGTTCCTTATTTCAAGTAGTCTACACAAGGAAAATTCAATCTGGTTTATAATATCCAGTTCATTCATTCTCTTAAGTTACCAGATCTCTAAGTCATCCCTACTCAACCTCCAGCCTACAGTAACTGACAACCCTCACTGGAGAATCTCCACAATTTTGGGGAGTCATGGATCATTAATCTGCCTATAGTTAACAAGATCAGCAACTCTCAAACATCCTAGGACCTGATTCCCTTTACATTCAAAACTTATTAAAGAGCCTAAAAACTTTTGTTGATTTATAGATATTTAATGTATTAGGAATTCAAATGAAAACACTTTCAATTATCTACTTAATTCACTAATAAACTATTATACTAAATCAATAATAGCAGTTCCTTTCATTCATGGTTTTGCTTTCTGCAGTTGCATTTCTGAGGTTTTCTGCTGTTGGTCCATGGTCCAAAATGATACAAAATTCCAGAAATAAACAAACACTAAGTTTTAAATTGTCTACCTCAAAACACCTTGCTCTGTGAATGACCTCCCTGTCCAGTGAATCCACACTGTATACCCTACCTGCCCATTAGTCATGTAGTAGCCATCCTGGTAATCAGATCCACTATCATGGTATCACAGCGCCATATTCAAGGGACCCATATTTTACTCAGTAATCACTCCAAGCTCACAAGCAGTGATGCTGGCGATTCAGATATGCTAAAGAGAGGCTGTGAAGTGCTTCCTGTAAGTATTATTTCACGTCATCACAAGAAGGGTAAATACTGCACAGTAAGATATTTTGAGAGACCATATTCTTTTACAGTACTTTTTTACAGTACTTTGTTACAGCTACTGTATTACTGTTTGTACCTAATTCATAAATTAAACTACATCATAGTATGTACACGAAGAAACATAATCCAGTTGGTCTCTGATTTAACAATGGTTGAAAGCCTAGCAGCATGATCTTTTCCTACTCAAGTGATATGTGAACAGTAAATACTCCCTCCCAGTGTGCCACTGAGCCACAGATCCCAGTCAGCCATGTGGTCACACAGTGAATGACTGACACAGTAAAGTGTATTGTGCTGCCAGTGTTGTTTTGGATATAGGTATTCAGTAAATCACACAAGATATCCACCAATTATTATAAAATGGCCTCTGTGTTAAATGATTTTACCTAACTACTGGCTAATATAAGTGTACTGTGCATGTTTATGATAGGTTAGGCTGAGGCATAAAGTTTTAACAGGTTATGGTTATTAGATGCATTTTTGACTTATATTTTCAACTTACAACACATTTACTAGGAAGTAACCTCTTTGTAAGGCAAGGATCATCCATTATCAGGAAGCTGTTGAGCTCAAGAGTGGTAAAAGATACAACTTTTCCAATTTTCTATCTTTCTCTTGCAGGCTCTAATTGTATCAGTGGCAACAAAACCTGACAAGGTGTTTTCCCTGAAGTGACATGTTCATTTTATTAATTTTAAAGAAAATGTCAGTAAAATAGCCAATTCTTTAAAAGTACCAGGTTATCTGTCAGTTGTTTTTTTCAAGGAAAAATGGTGTTAATTGAAAAAGCTAATTCAGATCATGATTCAAACTATCATGCAAGAGAATCTCCTTGAAAAAAGTGTTGCCCCTGAGGATGCAAAAGGGCCTTTTCTTTCATACAAATGTTCAACAGGCACATACTCAAAAACCAAGATCTATTCAAATCAATAATTTATACTGTTCCAAAAGGACACTTCCTGTGGACACATAGCGATGATGTATTTATGACTACTGGTACAGCTCAACACCACCACAATGATCTGGGTGAAAGCATCAGCAAGCTAACTCACTATTGCCTTTGCACCATCAATATAACAAGTAACAAGTAACACCTTAGTATTATGAAAGTAGCTCTGGCACACAGATGACTAGAAAAGGTCTTGAGGATTTCCACGGCCCCATACTACACTATGACAGTATAACTATTGTTATCTAAATCAGACTACTGGATTTAGATAACAAGGAGAAAAGATTTCTTATCACTTTATTCCTTAGATGATTTGTTTGTTTTGTTTTCTGAGACAAGTGTCTCCTTATGTAGCCCAGGCTGGCCTTGAAGTTGCAGGGATTTTCCTGCCTCAGCCTCCCAAGTGCTGGGATTACAGGTGTAGGCCACCCACGCCTGGCTTCCTTAGATGGTTATTTCTATTCAATTCTAAAACGGAGCAGTTAGAAATTTCAGAAGTTACACACATTTGTGATTTAGTTCCTAAAATATATTGTGTAACAATTTATCCAACAACAAAGAGCTAAGAATTAACAAAAAATCCTTCTTTTAAAAATGTTAATTAGCAAGTTTTTCAGCAAACAAGAGCAGGAGAAAAAGTGGAGTGCATGTGGCAGTAGCAGTAGGACTGGAAAGAGGAGACACTGACAGGAGAAGATACAGACAGTGTTAAGAAGTCACACCAGGAGCCAAAATAAAAGGCAAAAAAATTTTAAACCCACATAAGGAAACCAGAAGCAGAGTACTCAACAGCTACCGGATGGTCAAAGTATGCTATTTCATCCAACTCTGTGAAAAAGTCACAAAAAGAGTCATGGTATCTGGTATACTTTGATTAAAGAAAAAATTTACTTCATTTTCTAAAAAGTGGCAAAAACTAAAACAAAAATTAAAGTCTAGCTAATCAGAAGATTGTAACCCATTATTTGGAAATTTCAAATGATGACCATGTTGCTGGAACTCTGCTTACTGTGTCCCCTGAATGAGGTGATAAACCATGTTTTCTTCAGTCCACATGAATTCTCCAGAAAGGACAGAAATGTTCCACAGCTCCACAGTACAAGCCAGTAGTTATTAGCCCGTGTGGCTGAGGACTTGCAGTGGTATCAATGTGGATAAGAAACTCAATGTTTAATTTTAATTACTTTTAAATAGTTATATGTGGCTTGTGGCTACCATGGTGAACAGCAGAGTCCTTTACAAAACTGGCCAATAATATGCTGATAAAAACAATAAAAGAAAGTTCTACTAAATTCTAGGAGTTACATATAAACACTACTTATAAAAACTTGTATAATTTCTTATGTACAAAAGACTTGGCAAATGAGGCATTGCTAACATAGTTTAAAACAACAAATGCAAAAGCATTTGGGCTGAATCTGTGCTTCAGTTGAAGTAACTTCCAGGTCACGTGTTAAGAATCTGAATTCCTATTATCCTAGGACATCGAATTGGAGCATATTTAGGCTCCATGTGTAGAAGGCTGCACCTTTCATGAAATAAATGACTCCCAGACCGCAAATTCAATGAACAATTACACCGAGTCCCAATCCTATATGAATGCTTAGCTTTAGGAAAAATGCAGTAAATAAGGTGGGGTCAATTTCTCCCCTCAGGGATTTTATGGTCTGATAAAAGTAATCTCTGACCAAAGCAAGTCTAAGAAGAAAATCAACAAGATCTTAACTGGATAAAAGTTAATTTAGCATAGGTCCTTAGAAAATGACAAGTGACTTGAGGCCCAGAGATGAGGGAGCCAAGTAAGAAGCTTCTTAGGCAGAAAGCAGCAAGTACCAAGGCTCTGAGGCAGAAGGAGGTGTAGCTTGCTACTGAACTCAGGCCACTGAAGGCCTAGCACAGGGAGCGATTAGGGGGACAGGGGAGAAGGGCACAAGATGAACTTGAAGTTAAGAAATCAACTATCCATTTTTCCTTTATTTGAACAACATATTCAACTTCAGATGGCATAACACCCACTTACCAAAGAAAGGGTCCTGGCCTAGCTGCTTTCGGAGGCTTTCTACCACAGGGTGACCAAAGGTGATGTTGGGAACAAAATGCCTACAAGACAAACAAAATCTTACTCTGAAAGTGTTTTCAATTCAGTTTCTGTATTTCTCTCAGTATGAAGTGTGATGAGGGCAGAGGAGATGGTCTGGGACTGTGCTATTTTTCAACTTAATACAATATTAAAAGTAAAGATGACTGGATAATTTTGGTTTTCCAGAACGGTATCTCCTTGATATAACAACAAATATGCAATGTCACATGTATCTTCATAATGATCAGTCTACCTACGAGAGGTAAAAATGCGAAGATGACAAAGTAAAAAAAACTCCCAAGTTTATGACTTGCCCAATTCACATACTAGCTGGTAAAGTTCACAGTTCTAACACAGGTCTCCTGGAATCTTGTAGCTGCCCCCAATCGATTTCAATCACAGGGCACTAAATGACAGTTTACTTAACTTTCTTAAAGATAACCATTTTTACCTTGGGATTACTACAGGCCAGGGACTGTACCCTACTTCATCTGCACAACAGCCAAATGAAAAGTACTATTATTACTCCCACTGAAGAACATTGGCTAAATAACACCCTTACGTCAGTTGAGGTAGGATTCAAATGAAGTCTGCCTTGACATCAGACCCAAAATAGTCTTTAACCTGCTTCAGTTAATACTTCTGTTGTGTCACTTGTTCGATAAAATATTTAACAAAACCTCCTATATGCAATTTCCATGGTGGGTACATCAAGTACTATGCTTTGGGAAGAAATATGTTAGCATTCCTTTAGGCTGAGTTTACAAACTCACGGAAAAGAGATGGCTAGTGACTCACCAAAATTCATGACCTACTGCTACAGTATTGTGGTAAGTAGGAAACCATCTCACCCAAGGACTACATTTCCCAGCTCCCTTTACATCCAAACAGCCCATGTGACTAATTGTTGTCAATGGACTATGAGTTTAAGTGATATGTCATTGCAGATTCTAGAGATAGTGATACATGAGCATTCTTAATCCAAAAACCCAAAATGTTTTAAAATTAGAAATTTTTTGAGTACCAACATGATGCCATGGGTAGCAAAGTCCACTCATCATGCAACAGGCTGTAGTAAAATGCTGGGACACTTAACAGCACTATATGAAATTACCTTCAGATGTCTATAAGGTGCATATGAAAAAAATGAATTTTATTTTTAGATTTGGGTCCCATCCCCCAAGTATCTCATTATATAAATGTTAAGTATTCCAAAAAAAAAAAACTGAAACACTTCTGTTCCCAAGCGTTTTGGATAAGGTTGTTTTCTATTATTTGTGGTGCAGGAAATCAACATTAGGGCCTTGAGCATGCTAAGCAATTGCTATGCCACTGAGGTACAACCCCAGCTGGCATTTTGGATAAGGGATATTCAACGTTGTCCAAAATTCTTTTCCTACTCTCACTGTGCCTTTCTACGAATAAAGCCCTTCAGGACGAATGAAGGCTATTGCCCTGAATTACTGTAGGAGAGACCACTCATACTAAACTGTTAGATGAATAAACTATAAATAGGGCACGGAGGAATGTGCCTTAACCTCAGCACCACAGAGCCTGAGGCAGGAGAACTACAAGTTCAAGGACAGCCTGGGCAACTCAGAAAGAACCTGTTTCAAACAAACAAAAGGGCTGGGCATGCAGCTCAACATGAAGGCACTGGGTTCAATCCCCAGTACACAAAAACAAACAAATAAGTATTGGCTTTGAGAAAGGTTAAACAATAATGAACAGACAGTAGGTGATTATAGATGAAACTGTTAAAACTAAGAGCAAATATTACAGAATGTTAACAGAGAAGATCATGAGATTTATAAAACGATAGGATTTGTAAAGATGGGAAAAGAAAGGAGATAAAGGTAGAAAAAACCAAGTTACATTCCAAGAAGGGGGAAATAGTATTGATCAGCTTGGCTGGTATGAGAAACCTAAGAGGTAGGTTTTATCCAATTAAGGGTGTCAAATGCCAAGCTCAGCTCTTCAGATTTTATCCCACTGTAAATATGAAGATTTTAAGCCAAGCAGTAAATAATAGCTAAGTCACAAACAATAAAGCAGAAAGATGGGCTAGGCAATAAATTGCAAGGAAGGTATGAAGAGGTGTTGGGAGGTGGCAAGGAAGAGCAATAATGATTGCAAGACTACCTGGATTTGTCAACTGATTAGATGTGGGGGAAGAGGGAGCAAGAGAGAACAAACCAGGGCGGTTCGGTTCTAGGTACAGATACCTGGCAGAGTAAGTACTAGTGACACACCATTCAGGCACAAGTTTGAAACAGCCCACATACTAAACCTTTAAAATCTCACAACTACCCTATGAAACAGGTCCTGTTATTTGCACTTCATAGATGAGGAAAAGAGGCTCGAGGTCAAACAACCAGTAAGTACCACAGGCAGGCAGATGTGAAACCCAGGCAATGTGCATTCTAAGGCCAAGGTCTCAGTTACTGTGCTCATCTGCCTGGACAATGAAAACAACGACAAAAAGTATGGGGGACAGAACATAGCTGAAAGGGGTAGGTAAGAGCAGACACTTTCACTCACTAACATATGGGTCCTTACAGGTTGGATTTCTAGTATTTCGGAAATTGCTGACTAAAAGAAATCACTATTGGGATTACAGATAAGATGTTATGTTACATAAACTAGAAATAAAGGTCCAATGAGCAGTCAATGAGGCTTACTGAATATTCTATACCTTTGGAATTAAAAGATTTTGATTTCACACACTGTTCATTTACTGTGTGGCCTCTGTACTCTTGATCTTAGGTTTCATTTATAATAAAGGTAATAGGATGCACAAAATGCCCCAGTATTCTCAGAAGAAAGCAAAGGCTCCTGGGCTAGGCCACAACAAAAAAAGGGCTACAAACCCCATCATTAAATCAGGCTGTGCTGAATTTGCCTGACAACAGAACCCCACAGTGCTACAAATGGATACACAGCCTCCACTTCAGGCCTACAGACTCGAAAGAGGGCTTGAGAATCTGAATTTTAACAAATGTCTCAGGGAGCTCTTATCAGACCAACTTGGAAAACACTAAATTCACTTTAAGGAGGAGAAAATGCATCTGAAAGTCTGCTTCATTCTACTTTGTTTTCCGTGAAAGTACATTTTGGAGTAAAGTGTACAAGAAATAAAACGCAATAACTAAGTATTTCTTTTCCCGTGGAATTAACCATAACCCTTTATACAACTAAAATTCTCTCATCTGTCATCACGTTCCATCACTAATCTTAAGCTTTACTTAGAATATAACTGTAATGCAATCTGTATCAGACAAGGCAAAGATGCTGAAGATGATTAAGGCTGATGTATTATTTATCAAGACTGTAACCAGAAAATCTTCCAGTAAACCAGGGGTCACAATCTAACAAGCCAATGGGACCCAGCAGGAAACATCCAGGAGCAAACAGGACAGACAGGAGTGGAGGACAAATGAACAACCCCTTTTCAGCTTGCCCATCAGGGCCTTGGTAGAGTGTGGACCAGGGCTGATCAATTCTTAGATTTAAAAATTTTTGGCCCAGGGATTTAGCTCAGTGGTGCCCTCGCCTGCCTTGCAAGCACAAGGTCCCAAGTTCGATCCCCAGTACCAAGAAAAAGAAAATTTCCCCCAAAATCAGAAATCCAGTATAAATGTGAAAAATACTCAATTTTAAATCCTGCTCATTATTTAAAAACAGCTTCATTTGTTCTGTTTCCATGCTTAGGATCAACATATTACAATCACTGCCCTACCACGAGGAATTTGTGTATTCTAGGATGTTTTTCCACATTATCAACTAGTCCTTTATTCCAAATATCCAACCATACGAGTATTCCTCCTTTCGCAGTGATCTGCAAACTAGTTCTGAGCTTCTAGATATTCAGTATAAATCAGGAAAGAAACTGGAGTCCTAAGTGAGGAGGGAGACTAGGAAATAAGCACATCCAAAGCATGTTTGATGAAATTTAGAAAAGAATTCAGGAAAGAGAGAAACTCAAGGCAGTACCATGAGGGAAGGCATGCTGCACTGCCATCCTCGAAATGGAGCCCTCAGCCCCACACTCACACCACTGGCCTAGGAGACGCCTTGGCCCTTGGCAGAGAGCCACTGGCATCAGCTCAGCCAGGTTCTGCCTCCTCTGGCAGGATATCAACAAAAGAGGCCGAACCTTCCTAAACTGGTTTGTTCCTTTGCAGAAGGGAAATAAACACAATTCTTACTTTAAAAAGTGTGTGAAGACTAAAAGGGAAAGAGTTTAAAAACTGCAGAACTTAGTTTCTCCAAATCGGCGTTTCCTGGTGAAAAGAGATCAGCTTAAAAAATATTTCTTTTATTTAGTAAGCTCAAGATATAACACAACGCTGGGAGTGGGGGAAAGTGATTCTTAAGAGAGTCTTCCCATTATTAATTTAATCATGTAGTCATTTAACAAATGGTAACTAAGCCTGTCAATGGTGCGTTACTATAGAGAATACTACAGTTAGCAAGACAGGCATGAAACAGATAACAGAAATAAGTGGATAAACTATTGTTCTTTGAGAACACAGAAATAAATGTCTGATTTTTGTCAAGTCCAAGACTCACCAAAAGTATACTTGAAACAACTTGGGCTGTTTACACTGCTTCTAACTCTGGCCCCACCATTTCCTATCTATAAGGCAAGACTGCCACATTCCTCACTGTCAAAAATGCTGGGTGGTAACAAAAGCACCAAGCTCCTAAGTTTGTGTGAGCTAATGCATAAGAAGTGCCACAACAGAAACAGACAAGTGGTCCTAAATATTGCTACTCTTGCTGTCACTAATACTCCTGATCTGCAAAGTGAAAACAAATGATTTTCTTCATCCACTTCACTAACCCATACATGAGCTACTACAGGAAACTGCTATCCGTACCAAGCAGATTCACACACGAAGTAGAATTACATATGATTCCAAATAAATCAAGCTTATGTGAAAGGCAGTATTTACTAACCTTACACACCGAGCCTGTAATTCTTAGTGCTCTAAGGTCAAGGCTGTGTCATATTAGTAAGACAGATTTGGGAGGTGGAATGGAAAAGAGGTGGTTAGATTTAGCCTCGGAGAACAAAGGAAGAGAAAATTATTACAGAGGAGTGACATTAAAAAGAAAACGAATTAATCACCTGTTGTACATAACACCATCTTGCAAACCTGAATGACGGCACATGGAGGTTTTACCTATTTGCAGTAAGTTAATTTTTTCTATCCTGACCCAAGGTTATGACTCTTGCGATTTTATGGCCAGGTTTAACACTGGGGTTCAGAGAATGGCAGACACTTGGCAAAGGCAATAATACATGAGGTTAAGTCTGTCATAATCTCTGTACTCTTGAGGAAGTCTGTTTTTTTTCTACTAGGTTTGTTTCCTCATTTTATAACCACCTTAAGAAAGCTGCATTCTGATTCTAAACAACATTATGTGCTATTACTACAGTGCTTGAAAATTACTTACAAAAAACTGCCCTCCCTGAAAAGCAGGGTGCCTGAAGAGAAAATAGACAGAAAAATCAAAATTCGAATAATGATACAACAACGATTATAGAGAAGTTACTATATGCCAGGCACGGTAAACTTTACTTGTACTCGCTCATTTCATCTTGCACAGAAGTCTAAGTAGTAGGTTCTCAGTATTCCCAGTTCTCAGAAATGAAACTGAGTGACTTGTCCAAGATAATGTGGCAAGTGGAAACACTTGAGCAATCTCACTCCGTGTGCCAAGCTCTCGGTCCATATACTGGTCTTCCCACCTTTGCACTAACTAGCCATAGGAGCGTCGGAAAGGCATGCCTATCCCCTCTGGCCGGTCTCCACAACCGCATTATCAAAGATGAGTCCTAGACCTTCAAGGTCGCTTCCGGGTCCTCGGGCCACACGTTGGGTGGGGGCGGGGAGGAGCTGAGGTTTGGGACCGAGCATCAGCCCGCTCGGCAGCAAGCGGAGTCAGCTCCTCCAGCGCTGGCCCGGTTCCCACCCCAGGCCCCTCCTCACAAGTGCCCTCGGAGCGAGGCGCTCCGTCGGGAAGAGGTGCCATGCACCCAGCAGGCACTCCATCAAGGTGCGCCGTCCCGCCCCGCGCGGCAACCCGCCCCGAGCCCCCAGGAGTTACCCGTCCATCACATCCAGGTGCAGATAATCGGCCCCAGAGTCTAGCATCCGGAGACACTCGGCACCTAAACTGGCCAGGTCGCTGTTAAGGATAGACGGGCCAATCTTGCAGCCCGACGCCATGGTGTTGGTTCCCTAAAAGAAGTTACCCCAGGTCGCCGTAGGAAAGAAATCTCGCCCAAATCGGGCTCCCAGTTTCGACCTGGCCCTTCCCTGTGGCGTCTTCCGGACGCTGACGGAAGCAGCCGTCCTGCAAGAGGAAGTCCCGCCTCCTAGAGGGAGGGGCCGCTAGGGGGCAGGCCTGGAGAAGGGCCTAGTTCCTCCTTCCCTGACGCCATTTCCGCCCAGTTTTCCGGTCTTTTGCCCTATCCTGCTGAAGGAGTTTCTTAAGCTTCTTTGGCCTTGCATTGTGTGCGGTTCTCGCTCCTCGCTCTTGACCCTTGCCCACTTTTTGTTTCTCTGTCATTTGCTTATTCAATTCCTTTCTTTCCCCCGCCCCAACGCCAAGTGCTGTTTCCCCCTTAAGAATCAACAAAACTTTTCCTCTTATTTCTCTCCTCCTGTAGAGCTCTTGTCCCCAGTTGGAGCAACCTTAGCTCTGGCTGGTTCTAGCTTGCTCTAGCTACATGACCAGACAAGTCACTTCTCCCTGCCCCAGTTTTCTCATCTGTAAAGACAATACCTGGCATTTAGCTTTGTTGTGAAGATTAAACGAAAGAGGCCAGGCAATGCGCCCCGCAGGACGCCTGGTGGTCAGTACAAAATGGTGGTTATTATTACTGCCCACCTTTTCTGCTTCTGTCCCTTGCCCCCCTCTTTTCTCCCCTGTCAGCAGAGTTCATTGATAAATTTAGTGCATCTGTTTACTATTCATTCACCATACAGAAATGTATAAGCGTCCTGCTTCCAAGTGTGTCTGGAGTCTTTGGGTTAGGAAAAAAGACGGAAGAAAAAATTACATGAGGAGGGGGAAAAAAGAATTAGCAGGACCAATTCATAGGGAGTAAGGATAGAGCACCTCATAATCTATATTAAAGATATAGTGGTGGTAAATTGGATCCCATGGTCTTTATGGCCACATACAAAAGACAACAGAGGGCTGGGGATTTAGCTCAGTGGTTCCGGTTCCTGCTTCACAAGCGCAAGCTCCCGAGTTCGATGCCCAGTACCAAAAAAAAAAAAAAAAAAAAAAAAAAAGACAACTGAGTCTTTACTATTCCCAATGGGAAATGTACCAGTTACGCCAGCACTTTATGTAGTCTTGGTAGTGAAGTTAGTTGTTGGGATACCTGTCTTCCATTGTTCCCATTCTGCTTTATTATGAAAGGTAACGGTAAAAGCAGGGGTAGAATGGAACTCAATAAGGGGAGAGGGGGAACTCTACGTGTCTAATTGGATGGTAACAGCCCAGACTGTGGGGTGGAAGAGGTACAGCAAGGCATTAACAGGCTTGCCTCAGGGATCCAAAATAAACATTTTGCTGAATGAGCCAACCCATCCCCTATGGTGAGAAATAAAACTTAGTCATATTAAATGCTTTTATATTTATTATATGTGCATATTCAAACACAGAATACTTCATATCTTTCATAAATATCTTTCATAAACATTTCAGTATTTATTCTTATGCATTTTTTCCATGCTCTTTGGTCATTCAGTATTCATAAGATTTCATAGTCATTTGAGGGAAGTTGGCTGTGTAGTCAATCCTTCATTTTTACCTATAAAATGGCTAACAAAGTACTTGCATCCTGTGGTCACAGTGACTATTAAAAAATATCATGGAGGTACATAGATCTGTAATCCTAAATGATCCTAAAATAATACAAGTAAATTTATCTGAAGCTTTTCCAAATACATTCGGTTCTCAACTTGTTTTATTCTCCTGAGTGTCAAATCAATGTTTGCTTCTGAAATGCTGCAGTTGAGGCCCACTAAAGTAAATGAGGAAGTGGGACATTCGACTCACTGCTAAGACACAAGGCTGTGCAACTGGGAAATATGAGGTCACAGGGAAACAGTATGACTCAATATAATAGCAGCAAATTCTGGAGACTGTGCTCTATTAAAATATCTGTATATCTTGATTCATGTTTTAGACTATAATTCTATTCCATTTATGACACCTTTTTCCCCTATAATCTCTCTATAAACCCTCTTCTTATCTCAGAAACTCTCAGAGCTGGGAAACAGAGTGGACAAAGTTCTTTGCCAATCAAAGGAACAGATGCTAAAGAAGAGAGGAGATGTCTTCTTGTCTCAGGTACTCGAAGCCTGAAGTAGCAAACCAGATACTCCTGGCCTCTGTAATAGGCCTAATGAGATCACCAGTACCACACATTTTCCCTCAGCATTGCCATGTGCCCATTGATGTCTTTTGACACTATAGTTCTTAGTGCCTTGTTCCAAAGTGCTCAATAACTTATTTCCTTTTCAGAAGAATCAAATAACTCATCTAATAGAATTATAGAAAGCAGCAAATACTGAAAAATGAAAGCAAAATATTTGCTATAGAAAATTCTGTATCTGGGATTTGAACTGGTTTGAATCTGAGTAGTATAAATCTGCACCCACTATCATGGATGATGCATGTTTATGCTAATGTCTCTCAAAAGTTAATTTCAGAAAAAGCAACCTCTTTGTTGAGTCCATTTTTTTTTTATACATGGGAGTGGGTGCTTGTTTAATTTTTTCTCTGAAGAAGATAAATATCATTAATCATCATGGCTTAAGAAATGATCAATTATCACTACTGTATTTTTCATATTAATAGTTTTTTGTCATGTACTCAATAATATTTTGAACTTAACAAAAGATTGTGAATTACCTTGAACTTTTTCCTTATCGTGCCCAACTGTTGATTTTTAAAAATAGTTATTCCTTCAAACTCCAGGTAACAGTATTCCTGAGAATACATCTTGTGACACTCTTATGCACATACATATGGATACTTTAGCATTACACATAAACATTCAACACATTACATTCAACATGTTTAAGGATACCTTAAATGGAACAGATGCACACATCTGCAAATCTTAGTAGTCCTAGTATGAAAACATTCCTGCTCTATAAGGCCCTGTTTCTCAGAGTGGAAGCTTTTTTTTGCAAAGAACAATATTACTTGAAAAAGTTTCTGACAGACTTCCATACACTAGAGTGAAGGAGTCAGGCTAAAAGGCAGACAGACCAGCAAAATCATGTTCAAAACAGCCCAATACATTTAAAATATATATATATATATAAAGATATTTAGGATTCTTGTTGAATATTTAACAATCTTCTTTGACCCCTTTACTTTTTAAATATTTGATACAGGTAATACATAGAGGATTTGAAGAAACTGGAACAAAGCGAGCACATATAGAGACTCATGTAGCCCAGACACTTATAATTACCAAACATAAGGCCTCTAATGCTAATTGAGCAGCATAATTTTTAACACGAAAATATATATCAGAATCAGAAAACCACTTACATATCTACTTCTGCACTTGAGAATTAATTTAGCACTAAGTATAAATGACATGAAAATGTTATAAAACATAAGAGGCTATTTACCTCCTTAATTTTTAAATTTTGCAATGTTAAAATTTAAATCTTACTCTTTATCATTAACTTACAGATATTTTTTATTCTCTTAACAAATGGGACTATAACCTCAAATCATATTTGAAGTTGTGAGTCACAATATAAACAGTGCCTACTTAATAATCAATTCTAACAGAAAAATAATTTTGCTTGATGATTACGGTGGGTTTAGTCAGTCTCCTCTGACTAAACATGTACATTTCACAGCCATTAAAGTGAAAGCTTAATCAGATAGAATATATTTTAAACTCATCTCAAAGAAATCAAAGTCTATGTTTAACTTTTACTTGAAGAGTAGAAAATACACACACACACACACGCACACATACACACACACACACACACACACACACACCACCACCACCACCACCACCACAACCATGACCATACCAATTAGGTACATATATAGTAGTTATGTAACAGTTTTCTAATGTGAACTGTTAACATTTTGAAAATTAATTCTGAACTACATGATGCTCAGCCCTTCAATAATCTCCTAGTTACTGGCCTCACAGGCCTTCTAAATCTTACACTCTTCTTGAAGTGATTGAGCTTCAAGTTAAAGGCCTATTTGTAAAATATACAAGCTTGCTATGACTATGAAGAAATTGCTTACTTTACATATTTTCCTCATAAATGTAAATGCCCCAAGGATGATAAGAGTATTTTTACTACTGAGAGAGAGTTATTTTATTGAATCAATTCTACCTCTAACTTTAATATATGAAAATATAACCTCAAGGGCAGGCACAGGATACTGTAAAGAAATAATCATATTTCCCAATAAATCCTAATGTTGGCAATGATGTAGTCAGGACTAGAAGTAGGAGTACCATCTCTTCGAAGCTATTACATTTATATTTAGTTTTTATAGTTGCATAAATATTTAGGTTCTTGTTAATTTGGAGTTATGCCTGGTCATTTCTAGCATATTTTCTGTATAGTGATTGATTATGAGATGGAGTGATTTTATGGCGTTAGCATTTTGATTTATAACATGCAGTGAAGACGACAGTTGAAAAATAAATTCTGGAAAGTTCACAGCTCTAAAAATAGTATTTTTCTCCATCTAAATGGTTGTATTATTGATTCAAACACAAATGGCTGAAGGCTTGTTCTTTAGTCTTACCAAACTAATATTTTCCTTATTGATTTTTCATGTAAATTGCTACCTGTACAGCCACTTAATTTAATATTTTTGAAACTATAAAAATAAACATTTGCATGAGATGTATAATGTAAGCAACCTCAAAAATTGCATTCTTTTTAGAACATATTATTTGTTAATATTTCTATGAAAGCAATACTGTAATAGTATATATTTTTAATTGCTCAAGGCTTCTTGAATCATAATGTGCAGTGAAATGGCTCTTTCCCCTTACTTCTCCCTGGTTGTTATGGTCTTCACCCAACTAAATCCTTTTAGCCATTGGTTTTTAAGACGTTTGTGAACATTAGATGTACTAGCAACAGAATCTGTTCAGATTGTGCCACTCATTGGATGTAAAGTGCTATATTATAAGTAATCTTTTTAAAGCAGAAGTATTAAACTTTCAGCAATGATCCTTCCTATGTCTTCTCTACTCCTGCAGTGCTCACAAGATGTACAATTAAACATGAGACTCATCTAGGGCTACGTCCACCTCCCCCAGTTCAGTGGGCCTGAAAGTTAACTGGCTGGACAGCAGGGGGTTCTCCATGCCGTTTTCCTCACTGATGTGAAGGACAGTGTCTCCGTGCTGTAGGAGGCTGGATGTCTCAAGGCCTGTGAAGTCACCAGGATCCGAATGCTGAGTAGAGAAGGGACTGTGTGCTGCAGCACCTTGTGCTTCTGTGTCCTCTTTCTTGTCTCCTTCAGCAGGGAGGGGCTTGCTCTGTGATCAAAAGGATCATAGTGTCATGCACAGATAGGATAGATAGTACACTATCAAAAAATACTGTGTGGCTTTAACTGGACAAGGAAGGAATCAGAAGGCTAATCTCAGTTCAGCCTTTGTTAAAGATAAAATCTTATGCAGGCCTTTCCAGCTTTGTAGGCCTCAGTTTTTGTTTGTGGGGACTAAATCCAAGGTGTCTGGCATGCTATGCAAGTACTCTACCACTAAGTTACATTGCCACTCCTTTAAAAAATTTTTATTTTGATATGGTCTCATGGAGTTGCCCAGCATAGCCTTGAACTTGTGATCCTCCTGCTTATGCCTCTCAAGTAGCTTGGATTATAGTTGTGTGCTACCACACACCGCTTAAGCCTCACTTTTTTTTAACATAAGCATATTTTTTTGGTCTTGTTACCTTGTAGTCTGTACAGATCAAATGGGATCATTATAAATGTTAAAATGCTTTTAGAAATCAAAGCCTATACAAGTGTACATAATACTATTAACTTTTAGTGTTCTTCACATGAAGAGAATTTGGTACCTATAGGAATTCATTTATAAAAATTAAAAGATGAAAAAATCAAAACAAAAATATGAAAACAATGAGGAACAAGATCAAAACAAAAAATTCCTCTCATAGGACACAGAAGGCTCTGTAAGGCCTCATCTAAATTGGTTGTGTATTTGTTTATTTTGTGGCACTGGGGATGAAACCCAGGGAGTGCTGAGCTGCATCCCCAGCCCTTTTTATTTTATTTTATTTTTTATTTTGAGACAAGTTCTCACCAAGTAGCCCAGGCTGGCCTCAAATTCATAATCCTGCCTCAGTCACCTGAGTAGCTGGGATTCCAGGTGTGTGCCACTAGTCTTGGCTAATAACTTTGTTTGTTTTTCAAAAATAACTATGTATTATATACCTATGTATTATATACCTATTTTCTTTTTTATATATATATACCTATTTTCAATGGACATTTCAGCTGAAAAATATTTTCCTTCCAGTTTTTTCATAACTGAAGAATACAAAGACTTCTTTTGCTCCCCTCTCCTTTTTTTTCCTTTTTGATACAGGGTTTTACTAAGTTGCTAAGTTGCCCCAGGCTGGGCTCAAGCTTTTTATCCTCCTGCTTTAGCCACCCAAAGTGCTGAGATTTTGCTCCTGCTATGTTTCAAATAGATTTTCATCATGGAAGAACCAGTGTCTGGAAAACAAAGTGTTGCAAACCCATGCTTAATTATATGAAGTAACTTTGTATATTCAAGTAGTTCCTAGAAGTAAGTATGAAGCGAGCAGACCTTGCCTGTTTCTCCAGGGTCCTCACCTGCTTAGGAGACAGGCTGTGCAGATCCGCAACAACTATGGCAGGGGAAGATGTGAGGACTGGTTTGTCCATTCCTTCTGGTTGCTGAGACAGAGCAGGGCTGTAGCCCTGTGGCTGGTCTGTGGCAGGAAGTGCATCTGTCTGGGCAGCTGTTGGCTCTGGCTGAGCCTCAATGAAGGTCACAGATCGTTTCTGATCCACTGTGAGTCAGAGGTGAGTCAGTAAATAGGGAAGAAATTGACTGTCAATGGCATTAACCAGTGTCTCCTGGCTTATCTTCATAAAGACATTGCTGGTATATCAATCAATGAGAGCATATTTGACAATTTTATATGTTTTGATTTCATCTTCTTATAAAGACTAAAACTAGAAAAATAATTTTTATATAATGGTCTAAAATAAAAGTTGTAAAGAACATTAGGTAAGTTTGATCATCCCTCCTAACAACTCCCTACAGGGTTTAAAAGTCCAACTATTATGGATTATATGTGCATCTTCAGTAATCCATATAAAAATCCCAGTGCCTGGTTTCAGTAAATAAATAAATAAATAAATAAATAAATAAATAAATAAAAAGACATCACAACCATCTGTGCTCAAATCTCAGAATATAAATTGTTTACCTTGGGTTCTTCCATTTCCCTAGGTTCGTGGGGTTGGGGACAGGAATTGGGAAATTTGAGAAGACAAAAAGGTAGTAAAATATTCTGGGAAACTTCTTCCCTTAGCCTAATGTCTCCCCAAAGATGTGCTTATCTGCATCAGCTCGGTTTCTATAGATGTCCCTGGCTGAGCTGCATGGCACCTTGTCAATGGCACAGTCCTAAGGTACACAGGAGGCCTCACCAGATGGCTTTGTTTTAGGTTGGATGCTCCTGCGAGTGGTTGACAGCCGAGCCCCATGGCGGTTTCTTGGTTCAGTCTGAGTCTTCTGCCGTGATAGTAGAGGGCGTCTTAGCTAAAGAGAATAGGGAGAATAAAACTGGTAACTGAGTCTTTCTCACAAGATTCTGACTGTAAGCTTGTGCTTTCCTTTTCATTTTTCCAGACGCCTAAGGTTTCTCCTTACATTTATAGCTGATCAACTTGTTTCTGCATATTTAACCATAAGTACATTCTTCTAGCAGATCCCCTAACCACCTCATCTCTGCATTATTATTCCTTTATATATAACCTAATAATATTAACATAATTTAAAATTGTAAATTTGAGAATTTCAGTGGCTATAAAACTGGTAACTATTGCTTACTGACCTCATTTGTTCATCTAAAAGCTATAGTTGAACATATGTTGACTTTCAAAGGGGAAGTTTATTAAAATGATCTCAGAGACTCTCAAAGCATCTGGTACCCAAATCTGTGCTGGACAGCTCCCACTGGCGCAATAGTAGAGAGCTTCATTTAGAAAATAATGTACAAGAATCCCATCAAGGAAATTTGTAAAGATGATCTCATTTCAATTTCAGTTGTAGATTAAGTCACTGATCTCAAAATGAAAGAGAACTTTGTATCTTTGTCGCTGTACAGAAAAAGGCCTCAAATCAGCTGTATAATGCGTCTTCCACTATCGGTGAGTTTGGCTGGGAAGGGTAGTTTTTTGGATAGAGAACAAGCCCCCTTACTTAGTACTCAGCTTTGGAGATAAGAATATGCAGATCTGAAATAGAAGCTCAAAACTCTCAGCTTGCTCAACCAATTGCCATGTTTTACAGTTGCTCTGAACTGCTTATTTCAGGCAAGGAGAAGGTAGAATATAATTTTAATAAACATAGGCATTAAAGATCAAATAGAGCTTCCATTTCACACAGTAATTCCCCCACCCTTTCAGAGTCTGCTTACCTGTCTCAGGCCCCTCTTCCTTCCCAGTGGCTGCTGAATGAGGAGATTCTGCTGTCCTGGTTCACTCTGTACACTTGCCACCCTGTCAAGCATCAACAGTGTGAGTGTACACTGGAGAGAGTGCCAAAGACCATCCTCTGGTGGGTGTTAGCCAAAACCACTTATATGGAACAGTCACTTCAAAGATACCATTATCTTTGAAGGATGGTTGGGAAAGAGTCCTTGGGAGGGGGTTTTCAAAGGTTTGGGAAGGAGGATAAGGCCTTGTAGCCCCAAGCTGTCAAAATTGAGATTTTGTTTTCAATCACTGGTGTATTTATCTATCATTCAGAAAAACATTGGTTCCATCACACCCCTGGTTTGGAAGCCACCAAAAGGTTTAAGATGTATTCTAATCTCAATTTTTTTTCCAAGGGGAAGGGAAAAGGTGGGGACAAACACACACAAACAACTCTATCACATGGATGGGAACACCTTTTTAAATTTTCCAATTTAAATGAAAATAAGATGGACAAATATCAAACACATCAGACACAGATTCCATTTGGGTGAAGGGGCACATTCAACACATGTTTGCAGCCTGAAGTCTCCGTGACTACTGAATAAGTAATAAGTCACATGGGTAGAAAATTAAATGTTTTTAAAAATGATTTTAGGTTTAAAAGGCTGGCAAAGTAATAAATTACAACTTGAAAACTTTAGTATCAAGGAGCTGCACTCCAACATACTGTGCAGTTTATAAAAGCAACAACCTGCTCCCCCCAAATTTACTGTGTGTGTCTTTTATAAGCAAAAATGACTACTGGCAGTGGTTGCTATTTAGTGTTGGGTGAAGCTGGAAATATTGATATGGGCCTATGGTTCTTTTCCATTTTGCATGCATGTATCATAGGTATTTATAATGGGAAGGGGTGAAAAAAGAAATATATTGTGCCCCAGAGAACACTGTAATTCTGTGAATGATGCCAATGTGATTCTTTAGTTAATAGGGTTAATTAATTTCTGCTTTGCCTTTGCAAAAGGAGAGTCATCTACAGATAGATTTTAGTGTAAAATATTCCACAGAGGAACCAAGAGTCAGCAACTTTCCAGGAAAAAGAAAGATAGATTATATCCATTCGTTCCCATTAAAAAAAGAGACAAGCTACATAAATATCTAGCTTCAGTTTTAAGAAGAAAACTTGGTGACAAGATGGGCAATTAGATATTTCCCTTGTTATACTAACAACTGGCTAATTATCACGTAGGTGACATAGTCACATCTGTCATTTCTCAAAAACTCTTACTCATCCTTTCACTAGAAGAAAATCAGTAATTCCCAAACAGGGTCTGTTGTAGTTTCTATGAAATTAGGGATGTAATTACACCAATTGAGGTACACAATACAAAATTCCAAAAACATGTGTTTTAAAACTTTGTTGTCCTGAATATCAAGTTCAAAAAAGACCAATGTACATTATCCATATATATATATATATATATATACACACACACACACACACACACACACATATGTATGTATACCTCACCTTGTACCATATATGGCTTTACTATGAAGATGGAAAACTAGCCCAAAGGAATAATGCAATAAATTCTGTTAATTAATCCAGACTATGTTGCTGATATGTCTGAAATGACATTTCCTAATTAATTTACATTTTAACACGTTTCTGTTAAAGTGAAAAGAGTATTTAACAATATGCACAAATGTAGAAGCAAGTTTCTCCCAATAGCAAGCAAAGCTTTCATTTTTTTTTTTTCTTTTGGAATAGATTCTTCATTGACATCTAAGATTCTTCATTGACATCTGAATATTACCTCAGTTCCCTTGGCCATAAAGGGAGGTTGATACTTACCAACTACCTCCCATTAAGGTAGAGAAAAGAGTTAGTTAATGTAAAATGGTTTGAAAATGAAAAGTGATGTTTATAGCATGCTTTCTTGTTTTATATTTGATGTTTGTAATGAGTTTATTGCTTCTAGAACACTAAAAGGAAATAGGTAATACAGTATTTTAAAAATAATTGGACAGAGAAAATGAATTCGAGGCAGTCCACTTGTCTCATTTTTATTCAGTAATCTGAGATTGTGAGAAAAATGGTGTAAGAAAAGAAAAATACATGTTACTCAGGGAGTGTTAAATGTCAAATCATAATGGTAATTTCATGATGATTATTCCAAGGGAGGATCATAAGCATCAAAATTTTCTCTATGGATAGAGAGGCTTGTATCTCAGAAATGTAGCAAGTTTATAGCATTAGTAACTAGCTGTCTATATAAATGATGTAGCATCTCATTAAAGAATGCATACATCAACGATGAAATTATAGAAAATGTCCCTAGAAATATATTCCACCTGATAAATTATATTTTCCCCAGAAATATGATGTTTGGATTTGGAATATCAACAGCTGACCTAACTGTGAGCCATTAGGACACATTAACAATAAATGGCCAGAAAAAGTAATAATGGAAGTAGTTTATACAAAACACACTCTTTTTAGTCTACTTCAAACTGGAGTCTCATATAAAAGTTAGTTCCAGCCTAGCTTCTCTCTTTATCATGCAATGGTTTTCAGACATTTGAAGGATTTGTGATATATGAATAATACTAAAATGAATCAGGAGGAGGCCAAGGTGTTTGTACTAAGCACCTCCATATTATACCCCATTTTCTATTTCAGTCTTCTGAAGCAACCCATCATGGTACCCATCTACCAGAACTGTAGTAATCCAAACGATTTCCTCTTTAGGGAAATACTGAAATTTATTGGATTTTCTAATGCTTCAAAATATACCCCAATAGTCTTTTGATCCTTTTGAGTAACTAAACTATCTATTTCATGTATCATAGTCATGAAAAACAACTGAGAAGTTGAAACTATATCAAGATCTGTCAAAGTCATAGAACAAGTACTAAAAACTTGTATGCAGAAAACTAGTTTCTTAAAACATTATCAAATATACAGTCCATTAGGAAATATATACACATTTATTACATAGTACAGTCTAGACCATGATGCTGAAACAGGAAAAGATGTAATTTGTGCCTGAATTGTTTTCCTAATGTCTAAATTTTCGTAGTGTATAAATTATTCCTTATATTTTGGATGGCTGATTTCTACTCTCTTGGCCCAATAGAATGAAGCCATAAGAACAAAACTAAACAAACCCTTCTAAATTGAAGCTAATGTCTTACACTTTAGAAGTAGATTGCTTAGTAGATCATCACTTATATTTTTGAGTTACTGAAAAATATCCCTATGGCAAACCATATAATGATCTAAATTTTAGCGAACTAAATGCAACTGGGACTCAGCAGAACTGTTGTGATTCAAACTATTTATGAAAAGCACAAAAACTTTAGCTGGCTATGGTGGTGTATGCCTATAATACTAGCTTGTCTGGAGGCTGAGGCAGGAGAACCACAAATTTGAGGACAGCCTGGGCAATTTAGTGAGATCCTATCTCAAAATTTAAAAAAATTAAAAGGGCTGGGGATGTAGTTTAGCACTCCCTGGGTTCAATCCCCAGTACCACAAAAACAAAGAAAAAGAAAACAAAACATTTCTTACATAGATTATAAGGAAGTAATTATACACTAGGAAAATTTAAACAATATTAGGAAAACAATTCTGACACCAATTACTTCATTTCCTGTTTCAGCATCATAGCCTGGATCAGTGATGGTGAACGTTTTAGAAATTGATGCCCAAACTGCAATCCAAAACCCACTTATTTGTTGCAAAATGCCGAGACTGTAATTAAACCTGAATGCTCGGCTACTCAGGTGATGCTGGGGGGACTTGGTTTGTTTGTCAACAGAGGGGACTCTGCGTGTCCATTGTGGTACATGTGCCATAGCTTTGCCACCACTGTCTGAGATTGTAGAATATAAGAGATATGTCTGTATTTCCTAATAAAATATATATACCTAATAGTATTTCTTAAAATAAGAAGATAAGCAACAGGGAGAGATTTAGTAATGCGATGAAAACTCATATCACTCAATTTGTTACAAAAAAGACTGAAGTATACTGAATAAATAAAAAACGTCAGTAGAAGTAGATGGAAAAATGAATTCATTAATTGCTACTCTCTGTGCTTTTGCTTTGATTTTAACATGGTTAAAGAAATCTGGGGCTGGGGATTTAGCTCAGTGGCACCGTGCCTGCCTCGCAAGCACAAGGTCCAGAGTTCAATCCCTGGTACCAGAAAAAAAAAAAAAAGAAATCTGAAGGTAGAACATAAGACATGTAGCTTAACCATTTACCCCAAGTGATTGCCTTGCAATGGAATGCAGACAGCACCACAAGAACCATAAAGCATTTGTAAAGAACAGGGACATAGAGGACCAGATCCTACTTTCTCCCTTTGCAATCAAAGATGACTGTTTAAAATTTATTTAGCCTCCATAGCATCTAAGAAAATGTATTTTTGAATCTGGATTTTTGATATCCTGTAAGAACTAATTTAACAATGGCAAAATTCTATCATAAAACACTTTCTTAGCCATTAATTCTCAGCTGCCTTAAAAAGTTGTTTGAATGTTATTTGTACTTTAAGAGTACTTGCCAATTTTTCATGTTCTGAAAATGTAGATGATCATGAAATGGGCTTAACTTATTTTTATTTCATGTTCAAACTTGAGCCATATTTTTTATTTTCACTGTGATTAAAATTACTCTTACAGAGTGAAATAGCATAATAATTGCTTTTTAAAAATTAGAGTTGGCTGCCAATTACTGCTTTTCAAAATATATTAACATGCCCAAACAAAATCTTTTCCCAAAGCATAATCATCTTAAAGACTTGAATAAATTTTATATATCTCTAATACTGTATTCTGGAGAAAAAATATGTCCCGTGTGTATGTGTGTACACATGTGTGCCTGTGTATGTGTGTGTGCATGCACATACATGCTCAAATCCATGTGTGTGTTTTGGGGGCAGGGACAGGGAGGGAACATCTATGGTGAGTTTTCATCTCTAAGAGCAACACTCTCCAGAGAAGAAAATTCTTCCTTGGAATATTGCTTTAGTTGATGAATTTCCAATAGAAAGAAACTTTTCTCCAAAGCACAAAGTTTCTAATAGGCTATCTCTTGAGATAACAGAAGAAACTTTGAATAGGTATGCAAAATTTCTGTAAGTTTCCACCTATTCATCTAGTCATCTGGGTCTCTTCCTCATTTAACCCACTCAGTACAACTTGCCTCTTTTTCTAAAACAAGTGCCCTTTCCCAAGCAAATTCCCAGTAATATAGTTAAGCAAAATACTGGGGGGTGGTAGAAGGAGCAGGGTTTGTTATTTCCCTTAGCCAAGCTTCCCAATACTCTCTAAGCTTTGGGCTAGATTTTCCTTATAACTATTTTGGGCCTATTTTAGATCCTGAGTACTGGAGTATGTATTAAATATAATTTACATGACTAATGCCTTATTGCTTCAGGATTTTAAAAGTCTGTAGCACAAAGAAGCCTCATGCCAAAAAAAAAAAAAAATAATAACAGCACCTGGAAACCAAATATAAAAAGTATACTATTTTGTAAACCCACCTCTTAGTTAACTGCCAAAAGTTCCTCTCCTCCAAAGAGAACTTGGTGATACAATGGAGTTCAAACAATTTGCAGCATATGGCAAAGGTGGATGTGCTAAGGGTTGGTGGACTGCCTCTGTGTTAATAGAATCATTTTTAATCCCAAATGATTGCCTCATCTCATTGTTTTAATCACCACACCTGGGTGTGGGTGACTGAGACCCAGACCTTAGACAATGGTTACAGGAACAACAGTTAATCTAAGATAGTCATCGAAGTCCTGATATGATTGACTAACTTGGCCATGTATAGTAAAATATATATATAGTAAAATCTATAGCTTTGATTGACTCAGTTTCACCTAGCAGAGACTTTGAGTTTATTCCCATGACAATGGACCCAGGGAGGATTAAACTGTGTTTTAGACAACTTTAGTCATTTGAACTGTGAGTCTTTCAGAGATGGGCAAATCCTTTGAAGAATTCGGAAAAATAAACTCAATCTCTTGTCTCCCCTTACCAGCCCTGGAATAGTATTTATACTCAGCAGAAGTAGACTGTGGCCTAATAAGAAAAGCCACAGGACAAAACCAGCTAAATGAAAGACTGGTTTAATACTTTCTACACTCAGAAGGCGACTGAAGTTATCTTCTAATCAAGGTTCTTCTATCCCACATGAATCCCACAAGTATCCCACATATAAGCATTGAACAAATGAATTCTTTAAAAACAATGGTCACCCTGGTAGACTTGGTTCAGATTCCTCTTAAACACTAACCAATTAAGGAAAACCCTTTTGAGGACTGTTTTGTTTCTCAACTTCTTTGTTCTCAAAACTCCAGCTAATCAAATTAAATTTGTACTTTACAGCACTTCCACATTTACCACCAATAAGAGACTGATCTTTCAAGGCAAGGGCTCGCAAACACAAATGAATGTCATGAATTATGGACCCTGTTTTAAAAAAAAGATCCAATGATGCACTAAATTTCCCATTGTCAATTGCAAAAGAAAATGTTAAATCTGAACAGGATGCAAAGGAAACAAAAGACAACCTCACAGGAACAGCCTCTCAACATTTTCTCATCTTTGTGATAAAGCAATAAACACAGGTATATTATACTCACTATATAATGCAAACCTGAAAGGGAATGTTTTCTCAAGATGGAAAAAAGACATTCTGAAGATGAACAAGAAGCATTTCCCCTAATGAGGATTAGTTGAGAGGTATAAATCAACAGCACAAGATTAGGAATGTTTGACGTGATTTATCTGAGTGTTAAAGGTGCAGTCCCCTTTTCTGAAACTTTAAACCAATAATCAAGACATTATATTGTTCACATCATAAGAATTCTCTTATTAAGAAATGTTTGTGTCTGCTACTTCATAGGAATTTTAGAGTCATTTTTATGCCAGAATAGACGTTTTTTTTGTATGTTGTTTAAACAAGCTGTTAATAGTGTGCCAGAAGGCATGCATCAAAGAGAAGGAATTGTATAAATTATAGTGAGAATGTTATTATCCTTAAAGCATCTTTGCTTTCTTAGCATCCATAGCATTAGCTAAAAGACCTGACTCAATTTAAAACAGGAGCTTCTATAATTCTGATGATGAAGAGTTATATTAAGAGGTCTTTGAAAAGCAATACTTCATGAACATTAATGTAGAAAGGAATAACTGGATAGGACAAATTTTGGTATATCAAACATTTTTTGTGGGGTGGGAGTGGTGCTGGGGATTGAACCAAGGCCCTCATATGTGCTAAGCACATGTTCTACCATTGAGCTTTTGGCATATCAAAATTTTTAGGCATTGATGGGACAAGCCCCACAGAGAATTCTGCAGTTTTTTTTTTTTAGTAAGGTTTTTAGGTCATTTGTAATTGAGCTCTGAAGCTGAAAATGAAGGGGGGTTTGCTACACCTTTGACTTCCAGGCTCGTGTGTTCATGAACAACACAGGGCAAGGAATGGAAGTAGGTATCAAGACTGGGCGAGAGAAGACAGAGAGACAGAGGAGACAGGGAACAGCTAGTTTCCCAGCACAGACACCAATAGACAGGTAGCATTGACACTGTACCTAGAGAGGCTGCCCTCAGCGGCCAGGCCCTGGGAGTCATCGAGGACATTAGGTTCACTGCAGGAGGGGTAGGGAGATGAAGCATTTAGGGAAAGAAAATGCAAAAAGAAAAAAAAAAACAACGAAAAAAAGGCATGCAATTTTCTCTTTCCAGAACCAAAAATAAATTCAACAGAACAAGGAAGGAAAAGGAGACAGTCAACCATTTCACCTTGTGCTGGGTTTGTCAAGACATAGGACTCAAGGTAATGGGGAAGGAAGGACTTTGGATGGACACGTCTCTCAGAGGAGTGGTCTTTTTATTGGTCGAGAGTTAAAATGAGCTCCAGATGGACACATGAGCTCTGAAACGCATTGCAGAATGGATCTGTTGAAGATGAAACTATCATCCTTTGGTAACCATTTGACTAAGTGGTTATTGTTTTTAATCTGTCTTATCTATGTAGTGTTTCTTTGACCAGACCCTGCTTCTTATGCATTCGGACATTATCACACAGAAACCACTTACCATGAATTGCCACAACCAAACTCTTGGAACTGATGCCATTAAAAAAAAAAAAAAGGAAAGAAAAGAACCCAATTTTCCTTGCTAATTTTGCAATGAAAGTGCAAGTAAACAAATGGAAGAAAGATATCTTAGAAAATTTACATGGAACTGCATTTACCTCCTTACTCTCCATCCTCTAGTGATTGAATTATAAATGCCAAAAGAAGAAACCTGTCAGGTTGGTGAGAGAATTAAATAGTTTATCGATTTATTTGGATGTAGCTGAATTGAGATTTGTGAATGGTAACTGTGTTATATTTTATCTGTTTTTCCCTTGGTGCCTAGCATTGAGCTAAGCACTCATGAGGCCTTCAATAGATACTTATGAAATTGGGTGGAATTAAAACATTTAGGAAAGTGGAATGCCTACCCCCAAAAAACTGAGATTTATCTCATTGTAAAATAGTCTCTTTCCCCAAGAGGCTAATTTTTTCTAGTAATAGAGACAATATTACCTTTACCAGTCTTCCAAAATATGATTCAATCCCAAAGGGATTAGCTGTACTATCTTTTTTAAATTTCTAGGCTATCTATACAATAGACATTTTTCTCCCTGGAAATATGTTAATCCATTAGTATATATGTAGAAAGGGAATTGGTAGTCTGGGTTATTTTAAGTAAATAACCAAAAACCTCTCTACTTAAAATTACTATTACTCTATAACTTAAAATAACTTTTAAATAAATTGTTAATTTTATTCTTGACACACTTGAACACTGCTGTCCCATTAACTGCTTATGTGACTTTACATTGTTTCTTGGGACATGTTGTTTGTCATATTTTAGGTACACATTTTATTTATAGAGCTTTCTTTTCAAAGAAAAACCTACCAAATAATAAAACAATCTCTAACAATGATAGGAACCTTTATATGTTATTAGTCTTTATAATAATTAAATGGTGCTGACATAAAATGCTGCTTTCTTAAATAGTATGCAATTTATTTTATTAATCATATTTTATCATTTCCCTCCATTCTTTGATGTTCTTCAAATTTTGGCTCTGTTTCACAAACTATATTCATTTGTGAAGTTCATGAACCGTGTGTTAAAAGATTTGGGTCCAGGATAATTATTCTTGCATGTAAACTGGTTTTATCTGAACATTAACAGTGTGCCCTGACTTTTATTGTTTTCTACATGTGAACTGTCAATCTATAGGGATTAAAACTAAATGACAAACTAATTAAAATCACATAAGGCCTATTCATAAAGACTTTAATTTCTGAAGTGAAAATATCGTTTGTAAAATAGTTAATGTTTTGTTGTCAGATCATTTTCTGTATACTTTTATATATGTGTGATATAATAAGTTTTACAACTTACTCTTAGATGTCAGAAAACACAAAGAGAATATTTAAAAGGGTTTAGACATGAACTCATAGAGAAACTACCTTAAAGAAAATTTTAGCCAACCTCCTCATTTCACATAAGGGAAAACTGGACTGTTAAGAGATCTGTCCAAGGTCACACATAATGATATAAGTTCTTTAGTTCTTTTCTGCTCTGTTAAACATCCCTACCTCCAGCTGAATACTGGTGACATATCAGAAGTCTAAACTTTACCAATTATATCAAGCTGGTTCTAAACTCTTACTTAGCTAATAATAAATCTTAAATACAAGAAGATCATTTGAGCATCAGAAAGATTATATTTCTTTATCAAAAATTTAAGGACATGTAGGGGCCGGGGATTTAGCTCAGTGGTTCCGGTGCCTGCCGCGCAAGCGCAAGGTCCCGAGTTTGATCCCCGGTACCAAAAAAAAAAATTTAAGGACAAACAATACTTGGGTCACAAGTTGCGCCTCCCTTCTACTAGCTTGGCTTACAAAACTGCAAATTATTGCCAGAGAGAACCTAATTGAAAAGTCCTTTGTTGAATGGTCTACCTAAAATCATAACCATTGCTTGCTTCTCTTTCAGTCTGGATAATATGAGTGCATTTTCAGAACGTCTACCTTTGCCCCCAAGTGCAGAGTAAGATAGTCATAGCTCTTTACCTCTGGCTGGGTAGCATGCCCACCTCAGCCTGAGGCGCAGACATGCTGGAGACGTGGCTGGAGAACCGCCTCCTCCCAATGGCGCTCAGGAGGTAAGCTTCCTGTTCACTTACCACACTGGGCATGCTTACAGAGTCATCTGAAAGCAGGAAAGGAAACACATGTCCTAAAACTGTTAACACTGATCACAAAACCCCAAACAAAGCTATATTTCAATTCCACCCATGGCTTGAGTACAACCTAAAGTTTAATTATTGTTAGTCCCTTTTTATAGAAAAAAAAAACCCCAAAAGGACTAATAATACTTCATATGCACACATCTTCCTCCCTCCCACTAAAACAGCCTTCATGAAATGAATGTAAACTTCTTGATTATTTTTACATGTATATTATTTGTAAAAGTTGACAATGTCCTGCAAATTAAAGATTTCAGAAAGGCTAGAATATAAAATTTTAAGATGTTCTAGGAATGGTCAATAGGGAATTTGTTATTGAATGAGTCAAGTATAATTCCTTGACATGTGAAAACTATTCAGTACTGTACACTTAATGAGTTCTAGCTTGCTGTAGGAAAGACTACTTCAAATATTTTTAGAAAAATTTTTGAAAGTTAGTTCAGAAATTAGTGCTCATTTTAAAATGGAAGCATATAATCTTGCTTTCTCCATGAAAACATGAAAAATTAATATACTCAAATCCATAAAAGTTAACTTTAACAGTATTTGTGACAAGGGGACCTCATTCAAAGTAAGCTAATGTGATTTGGTGCTGAACACTAAACATCATTAAGCATATTGGGTTTTGGTGAACATACACTACCATATAAGATAATCTGATACCATTTATTTAAAATATTCAACCAATCATATTTCTAACTGAACTTAAAATTAGTGACTTAAATTTTTTTCTTTTTCTATAATAGTATTTTCTTTTGATATATGTTCACAGAGAAATACATGAAAAATATGATAGGATATGTTGAACTATGTCTATAAATGTCCTTCCTTGATGTCACTGATTTTTTTTTAACCCTTATTTGAATTCACATCATTTAACACTCCCTCAATATTTGGTGATTAGTCATGTGTTGTCTTCCATTAAGCCTTTTGTTAAACATCTATTTTGCAAATGTCTTATTTCCTCTCCAAGACTATATCTAATATCTTAAAGAGCAGGGAACATATCTTTCTCATATACTCTTATCTTAGATAGGTCCTAATACATGTTTGATTATTGGAAAAATAGTTTAATTCAAAACAATCAATCATCTGACTTTTATATCCCCCCCTACATGTAAATATACACCCACATCACAACTACACTACATTGTTTGTTAGCATTCATTGTTTACTGCTTTCATTGGGATGACTGTGATGTCTAAGAATAGAGATATTGACAAAATTTGCATCTTTCCTCACCCTCCCCTCAATCAATATTTGAGTGGTGGCTCTTGACCAAGGAGATCTCTGTTTATATCTTCTCTACTTTGCTTCCTAGCTTCTTCTCATTGGCTAGATCATCTGCTTATTCATGAAGTTACTTGCAAAATAAATACAGGTCTAGAAAAGACAGGCAGTAACAATTTTCCATCATTTAAAAAAATGAGACTATTTTAAGCATTAAACAAAAATGTGTTTCACTTCACATTTTGAACTGATACCAGGACTTTTAATGTTTAATGTAGTGGTTATTTTAAACCACTAATCCCATGGCCAAGATTTTAGAAGATTACCCTAATTACAACTTTAGGTGTATTTCCACCAATAGTCACCAAAGTGACTTAGACAGAAATATATGTCCATAGCTTGGGTGCAAGACAATATGATTATCACTTTATCTGACTAAACCTCAAGTTCAGAGAGGGGTTTTTTTGTTTGTCTTTTGTTGTGGAAAGCCTTTTAGTGGAGATCTAGATTTTGTTCTCATTCTTAAAGCATGGACAGCACAACTTTGGAATTAATATTTTCTATCAAGATATTTTAAAATACCAGTGAAAATAATCAGTGCAATTTAGAAGCTCCTTACAGGACAGTGGTAGTTAATGGAACCTTTTATCCTACTTTTACTCTCAGACCTGCTCATGTTAAGAATACATACGCATGAAGTATTTCTTGACCAGATTTCCGCTTATTGGATAACACTAAATCTTTAGCACATGCATTAGTAGCTACTGGTCTGATCTCATCACTTGGGATTCTCTTAGCTCAAATTAGGGGTTCACCTCAAGATAGCCTGCTACATAATTTCATTCTGGCTGGCACAGCCAACTGGTCTAAGTCTCGAACATATGCTTTGCCCATTTTTCCTTGCCCATTATATCGTGTAAAGAGCTGGTCAGCCAAGATGTCCAGAAGAAAGAGGAGTAATTATATACCCACAATTTAAATGAGTTAGTATAAAAAGTTGAACATATAAGTGAAAAGTATTACAGATTATTAAGAATGTATTTTTTGCCTGAATTCTTTCCAAACAAGGAATTTATAGAACAGACACAAGAAATCAGAATTAGTCACAATTCCATTTTGAAACCTTTTTAAAAAATTGACTAAAGGAATGAGAACTGGAAATGGTTGGAAGAGCAGATTATCACCAAGATTCTTTGGAGTGACCTACTTTCCTCGTCTTCCTCATCAGTCCGACTCAGAGTGTCCTGTGAAGCCTGCTGGGACGGCTCACTGTCCTGCTCCCAGACAGTGCCTGTGCCTGTGTTAGAGCGGGACATGGTGGCCAGGCTCAGGCGGTAAGCAGACGTGGAGGTACCCACGGTACTGATGGAGGTCTTCCCTTGGTAGGCTGGGGGTCAAGAGACCAAAGGAAATGGATAGTGAGGCTCTTGAAGGAAAAACATTTGCTTCAGAATTCTCCCTCACCACTTGCATTGTTTTTTTTTTTTTGAAGGAAAGGTAAGTTAAATAATATCTCAGACAAGTGATGTTTAGGACAAAGTAACAAATGGAATTGGAGATGTTAACAATAGCAAAGAATCACTATTGGCCACTGATGTATCTATGATCAAATAGTTTCCTTGTGAGTACACAACATACCCAACCATGTAAAGTATT